GTAACCACCGTACTGGTTGTTCGAAGCTAAGCCTCGCTTCTCCAGTTTTAAATTAATCAAAATATGGCTGAACCGTTCTAATCTACTTCATATCGGAGATATCCGAAGGCATCGAGAGTTGATTATGGTCTGGATAAGTTAATTAATGTCTAATTAATAGTTTATATAATATTTCAGGCCTAAAGAAAGACCTGTAATATGCAGATTTAGCTCTTGCATATTGTATGGTTAAGGAAATAAGAGTATTCAAAAGATTTAATTTAATTTTACTCTTTGATTGGATGTGCACTGACATGATAGGGTCATCGCCTCCTTAGTACACCACTGAAAGTTCATCATTTTTGAGTAAATACAATCCGACGTTTCTCTTGCCGTTCACTAGATATGATTGACTTTTCAATGTAATTCATGATACGTTTCAGTGATGATAGAGTTACGTAAGCACGAAAATGTCAGACCGTCAATTGATTTTTGGGGGTAGAATTATTGAATGTAAATATGCTTGTTAAAGCATATTGACATCGTCAGTAAGTGAGTACTATACACCAGTTTCAACAACGATTATATGACGTAAGCAGACAATGAAAGCATGTGATTAACATTTGACCGCCTATCATGGCTTAAATTACATTTGTTTATATACTTATAACATTGTTTTAAGCTGGATTCCCTAGAGGACTCAAACCTTTTATTCAAAAAAATCTTTTGAAAAACAGAATCTAACAATTTTTCTATTTTTTGAAAAACAAAAAACCTTCAAACCTGGGAATAATAACGAAACCAACTTACATTGCTAGACAAGAAATGGGTTTTAACGTCTTATTCTTCTTAACCAACGAGGCAAATGGGGACTGACATACGCCGTGGACTTTGAGGGACAAATCAGAAACGGTATTCTTGAAAGTATGACTATCAGTAGGTGACCGCAAAATAAGCAGAAAATTATTAGTAGTAATATTACCGAGAAAAAATAAATGACATATGAACATCTGGTTTTTCGAAGCTCCAATTCAACTTCAAAACATTTGGTTTAATAATACGCCAGACGTCTCAATCGAATGACAATCTCTAACATCTGGTTATTCCAGTCTACACTGATAGTATTGTGCATGCTCTCCAGATAAGAATATGAAGTCACCTTTTGACACGACTTATGGAATATGTCTAGCCTCATTCTTCGAGTCCCTTGTTACAAATGGCACTGCAACTCATTATGGTACACGATTCGTGTACCAATGGTAAAATGTTTATTTTGTCTTAAATATTGGATATCAAAAGCCCATCTTTTCCCGGTAAGATCACAACTTCAATGTTAATTTAAATTCACAAATAATTTGTGTTTTCATTGTCGACGATTTTGGATGATAATGAGCTAGAGACTTAGCTACTTTAAAATTAGTGTTTTATGGCATTATTAAATAACGTGAATTTTATCTCATTGACATGTTCAGCATGATGCGCCAGCTGAACTTCGGTCGTCTTCCGGTTAAATCAAGTCATTAGGCCGCGGAAACTGCCGAACTGTGGTCAGCCGGTATGCGCCAGTATCATGGACAAATCAAGCAGGTCCGTTACGGCCTACTCCTATTTCCCTTGACAACTGCCAGGGAATCTTTAGCGTGCTGTCAGTGACTTATACGGAGCCTCAATCCAAACGACCAACTTCAACTAATATCTCTAACAGGGGTTTATAGTATAATTTCTATCTAGACCTTTAAAGTATTCAAGCTTAAAATAGACGTGACATCTGTGTTCAGCTTGTATATATGGTTGGGGGATTTAATGATGGTTTATGTGACGTCAATGGAGAAGGTCGATCTGTCATTGATGAAATAAACATGATATGAAATCGGTATTCATACTGAATTCTAGTTTACCATAATAATATGATATCCTGTCAATTTCAGCTATTCACCATGCTATTGATCTATCAATCAGGGAACCTGACATTTTGTAAATTCGCTCTTCTACCCCGACCACGACTCTGATCAAATATGATCATTTCTGGACTTCGTTCATAAGATAACATCCCCTATAGCGCCTCGATTGACCTATAGCGTTTTATTCGATTGCCATACGAGAATTATATTGAACTGTTCCACCCTGTCAATATGCAGGTCCCGTTATACGGTTTTAATTAGCCCAGTCGGAGCAGAACAGTAGGATGTTAAACCCCATTTCATTTTATTTACGTCCCGTTATAGTCAAATGAAATGAGGCTTTAACTTCTACACAAATCCAGCTAATGCCGAATAGCGGCGATACCGCAAGCATATAGTTCGAATTCCAACTGTTAAGGGTTCTTTAGCGTACATGCCAACTTGTACACGGGACCTCGCTTTTTCGTCCCCACCCGAGCGACTAGACGCCTTTCCTTGCCAGGCCCTCCGTCCTTTATTTCCGACAAGGAAACCAAACGCCGGAAACTCCCGAGTAAAATATATCGACATTTCATTTAAATCTTGGAGTGTTAATTCAACCCACCAATCAATGCAGCCCAAACAAATGGAAAACAGAATGTTATTTCGGCAATAATGATAAACGTTCTACTTCCGCCGTTTAACCAAAAATAAATCGGTGGAGAGGCAAAAGGTCGTATCTGGAATTTTTTGCGAAATTCACCTTTTTTTTTCTTCAGAATGAAAATTGTCTTGCGCACCTTTTCATCTAGTTGCCGTAGTTTAATCGATATTTGTTCAAAATGTCATATATGAAGTGTTACAATAAAAACATCAATATTAAGAGGGATAATGTAGTACTTTCTTTAAAAAAATCACCTTTATGTCTTACCAAAAGCATTACAATCAAACACAATATAACCAGTATTGTTTTATGGTTAGTTACGTATTATATTTGAGAATATCTTTAGAAATACGTCATTTTACAAACAACATTTTGACGTGACTTTTTAGTGCGACATTTTGATTCTTAACTTCTATGCGATTTTTTGGCTCTCCTGGACAATTTCGCAAAACCCAGATACAACCTTTTAACTCTCCATCGACGATAAGAAATAGTTTGCAATATGAAATGTATTATATGTGACTATCAGAGATAACCTCTTGGGATGAGAAAAGCTTGATGGATAACATCTTGGATGTCGTCCAATTCCAATGTAAGTATTAATCTCAACGCATGCTCCCTCTCCTCGACGATTATCTGGTTCAACTACTAAAAAACATTATACGGTTTCATTCGTATAATTAAAACACAATTTATTATAAGAATTATAGGATGTTGTAGTTATTTATAGCAGAGATTAGGAGACAGGCTGTCGCCGAATTTTCTGCAGTTATTTATTCCAGCTTGCAAATTCCCCTTACAAGTGCATGTTTTAAAATGTCTTGAGATTTTTTTCAGTTGGTCTGAAATGCCAGTTTTTTTGTAAAATGTTGTGATTTGTATTGTCATTTAATTAAATAAATAATTTAAACATACATTATGCAAGATCTAAATCTGCCTATTGCAGGTCTTTCTATATTCCTGAAATGTTTTCTAAATTATTAGCCATTCATTAACTTATCCAGACCATAATCAACTCTCGATGGCAACGGATTTCTCCGATATTAAATAGATTAGAAGAGTTCAGCTATATTTTGATTTAAGCTAAAAATGGAGGAGCGAGACTTAGCTTCGAACAACCAACACGGTGGTTGAAGTTATTGCACACGTCTTGTCAAACCTTCAAAGACTAATAACTTCGCTCGCAATAGAGTCATTTGAATGAAATTTTCAAATTATTAATTTTGCATTATCTATTTTCGAACTATTATAGCATGAATGGCTAGCTCTTTATCTAAATCTTACATAATGTATCTTAGAAAAAGAAAAGAAAATGTCCTGATTTGTATTGTCATAAGTAATTGATTAGTTTCAAAAAGAAAACAAAAAGTGATTTGTATTGTCATTAATTTCAAAATCAATTCAAATTAAGAGTAGGCCGTACTGGGCAAAATTTCCATCTTAGCAAACTACATTGCGACGTACGACGGCGTAAACCCGTATTCACTGGAATGGGTGGTGTAGGAGGGTATAGACGGTCCGATCTATATATTAAAGTCGCCTGCAGTTTCCGTCAAGTTCGCGAGATGTAATTAGGGTAAGGACACGTGATTGTTAACGAAATTGTGGGTTAGGTTAGGGTTAGCGCTAGTGCTAGTCCTGTTTTCATATCCTGACCTTGCCGAAATCTGCAGGCAGCCTTAATATTTAGACCTAAAAGGGTATAGGCTTAAATTTTATGTTATTTTATTTCATTTATTGTGAGGCAATATTGTAGACTATTGACAAATCGAACGAATGGGCTCTTTTCTCCCTTTGAAAGGTTTAATTAAAACTAGACTCTTATTTCGTTTCGTTTTTGTTATTATTTTTATTATACCTCAGTAAAGTCTCATGACATTTTTAAATAGTTTGTATTTCTTTGACCTAACTTGGCCTCTCGTCTAGCCAGGGATGTGTTCTTCTTTGGTAGTAATGGTTTTAATCAATCATGGCTATATATGTATTTGAAAACAGGCCGTAAAAGATAATGGAATACAGATTACAGCAAAGATATTATGATATTTATATTAGGTTTTTTCGGTCTTGAACAGCTATATTCATTATTGGTTTATGCAGCTACCATAAATCAGTGATCACAAATAGCGGAACTTTAGAAATGATTCTGACCAACTGTTAAAGATAAGAACAATTTAAGTCAGACCTCTCCGGCAAACCAAAATTCGTTATTGATCGTGGGTGCCGCGAGGGCTTTGTGGGGTATGGGACTGATGTTTAGTCTAGTTTCCTCTTGTCAGTAATGCAGGTAGGTCGACCTGGCTAGCAAACGACAACACCCCCACCCCTGGTAGCGCGTTAAAGATAATCTAACAGTTGGAAATGGAAATAATTGCAGCGCCGCTGTCGGACCAGAAGACGAGAGCGTTACACCCCAGTTCATTTCATTGAGCCTTCTATTTTGATACTGTCATTATTATTTAACAAATTTCTATTTTCAGACTTTCTCATTGTCTAACATGAGTAAAGGAGGGCGTGCTGCCTTGGCTAGAAGTCGATCTATAGACCATCAGATTGATGAAGACAGAGAAAAGAAACAGAAAGAAGTTCAGCTTCTGCTCTTAGGTATTTTGTAGAATTATTTAGTTATTTGTAAAACATTGAATTGGTTGGCCAAATCTTAATCTAATACGAGTTCTGCTTTTAGGTATTTTGTTAAATTATTTAGCGTTTCTAAAACATTGCTAATGTGATTAGACTGGCTTAAATTTAGTGAAGTACATGTATAGAGTTTATCGGATCGAAGATACAGACACGAAAATTATCGAATCAGAACCGAATGAATTTTTAAATTTCTGAACAAATCCGATTCGAAAAGAACAATTCTATATATAGTTTATCGGATCGAAGATACCAACACGAAATGATCGAATCAGAAGCGAATGAATTTTTAAATTTCTAAACCGATCCCATCCAAAAAGAACAATTCTAGAAATTCTGATCCGAAACGAACCAAATAGATCTTCGGTTAGAATGCTTAAAATCTGCTGTATTCCCACCATGTAGTTCGTAGTCATTGAATAAAAAAATGGAGGTAGCTTTCTTTTTTAACAAAAACAAACAGTGAAGCCTGTTTATATCGGGGTAGCCTACATTTAGGCGTTCTGACAGTGCTCTACTTGGTTATAAGTGTTGCGTAGTGATATTGCGATACTTCCTTCAAGTACTGAGCAGTCATTGAAGTGGAAGAGAGGTAACGTTTATTTTCAAATTCGTTGAAGTCTGATTACAACATTTCTTTGGTCACCGGCGTTATATCAGTGTTGTATTTTATTAATTCTCCCTAAACTAATATTTTGACAAGCTGTTACATGTTTTATATATTTTAGGTGGAGCCGGCTCCGGTAAAAGTACATTTATAAAACAATTACAGCTACATTATGGCGGCGGTTTCCCAGAGTCTGAGAGAGAAATATTTGCTGAACAGATCCTTAAAAACATGACAGAGGGCTTAGTTCTTATCGTGGAACAAATGGAGGTGTTGGGTATTAAATACGAAAGAGAGGAAACACAGGTAAGAATGCCGTAGTCGAACTGGTCCCCCAAGAGCTGCTTCTTCTTCTTTGGGGCCTCGATCTTCGGAACAAGCCTACCCAATTGGAGGTACGATCGACATATTTTTTCTTTCGGCAATAGACTAAAAGACGTCGATGTTTGATGTGGCGTCTTAATTCCAAGTTGGCTGCGATGACGTCATTCCCACTTCCCAGTCTATATAGTACGTTTGTACTCATTTAGTTCTACTACTATCGTCATGGAACTACACATGCTTGGTCCTTTGACAATTGCTCAACGATTGACGGATTTCGATGTTTAATGTGACACCACAATTCCAAGATGTCTGCGATGACGTCGTGTCCGGTTCCATGACCATATAGTGCGCTCGTGGTTGTTTAATTCTTGAATACTTCGTATTCGTCAAACCAATGCTTCCAAATGTAACATGAATTTGGTTCTTATGGGATGTATGGGACTTTGAGAGTTATTCGGATGATATTGAAACCATCTGGATAGCTAAACGGTAAATCACAACGAGATAGATTAAGTATTAAGGAAAACACAAGTTGGGTTGTATGTTTGAACAAAAACAAGGTAATCGGATTTATTCTTACTTATATTGCACGGAGTTTTATCATTGACTGTTATAGACAGAAAGGTCAGGAAATCTACATCTACAGGGAAACCTTAGACTCTCTAATCTTTACATAATACCATGTCGACAACTTACAGGCCTCTTAACATTCTTTTAAAGTTGAGTATTTGGAACCGCTTATATTGGATTATTTATATTTGAGACGCACAAACAGAACACTAGTGTTAAAACAACACAATATATGATTTAATCACTTAACACAATGTTAAAATGGGTTGCTTCTGTTGACAGCCACACAATCTTGTGTTATTTTACTCTAGGTTTTTGTTTATACGACTATTCTGTTAAAGAGCCACAAAGGCCAAAATTACCAGATAAATGGATGGCAATTTTTAGAACGTTCGATGATATTATGTCTTATCTAGAATACCAATTACCTTTACATGTCTGTTGTCAAGAAAGGTGTTGAGGGGGCATGTGTAAGGCGAGGGTGGTCTCCCTGTAGGAAGAGAATTTTTTGAAAACTCGCGGTGTCAATGAGACAATAGGGTGATCTAACATCGTTATACTTTATTATTGTAAATGTCGTTATATTTATCCTCTATCCTCGCAGAAACGAAAACATATCACGAAATATTAGAATATGTCCACTGAATTGCCAAAATCCTAAATGTTAAACCCTAACCTGTAGCGTATTAAGGTATCTGGCCGTCATAATGTGAGGGATTGTTAATCCCTTCTAGAGGATAACAGTTGAACATCTATTTAAGGATATAATTATCTTTTATCATTGTGTCTCGTGCTGTTACTTGTGTACTGTAAACAACCAATGAAAACGCTGCTGCGGTTTCTAGTCAACTGTTTATAAATGCACGTGCTTAATGTGGGTTGTGATGGCCTAGTGGTCTAGAGTGTCGTGCTTTGAGCTCGGAGAGAGGGCCACCTTCTCCACCTCATAGCTTTACTCCTGGTACTCCGATTTCCTCCCACAGGAACTTGTCTGCGATATCAGCATCGGTGGAAGTGTGCGTTAAACACCACGAGCAACAACAAGAACTGATCATTGTCTGCAATATAAACCCTTGGTGGAAGCGGATGAACGAATGAAGAACTGACGCCTGGTGGAAGCGGGCGTTCAGCCCTAAAGACCAACCAACCCAAGCTGACGTCAGCTGTCTGAACAGTAGTCGATGTGATCATATGTTATGACAGGTTTCCGCTGTCGTGCCATGCGTTACGATAGGAATGTCCCTATTGAGTCGACGATCTGGTACGTGCAGATACGTTCGGATACGTTTCCATACGATCAACACGATTGCTACGACTGGCCACAATATATAATAATAAGCCCTGATAAGGATCACCACGATTACTCTGCGATTAAATCCACGATTTCAATCGCAGCATGAATCGTGATAGTGGTAACCTAGAATGAGATCTATCGTAGTGTAGATAATAGAACCATAAAATTAATACAAAATAACGACACAATTCTAATATATTGCACTGTTATATTATCTAACCCAAATTAAGACGATGTTAGAATTCTGTTTTTATCATTTCAGCAAAATACAATTGAACTTCTTGGTAAACATCCACGTGTGTCTATGAAACTTATTCTAAGTAGAATGGCCGAAGACGAGGAAGCTGCATTGAAAAGTCAGTCAAATACAAAAAATGCCGATTTGTCGCCCCAGATGTCCAACTTAAGAATGGGAAATGAGTTTACTAAGTCCGAAGTTGATATGATACAAGAGATCTGGAATGATGCTGGTGTTCAGTGCTGTTATGCTTCTAGACATAAGTTTGGTTTAGAAAGATTAACACAGGGCGAAGAATAGTAAGTCAAAAATGTATCTTGTGACCATGTGGAGATGGTATGGGGCATAGTCCAAGAAAGGAATGCAGTGTTACTTTGGTTTAAAGTTACAATTTCATATTTTCTAAGAAAGTCAAAACAAAATTATTTCTATGTCTTTTGCTCAATAGGTTGTCAACTCACTATTATACGATCATAGGTGTCATTCTCACACTTAAAACTCATTTACACCGGAAATAATAACACAATTACCTCCCAATTACCTCCCTTGTTTTCTATTCTCCACCATGGAGTAGTTATCTTCAAACGTTGGAATTTCAAGATGAAAATTTCTCAACTGGCAATAGTGAATTATAGGATTAATAGGATTTTTCTTTAACAAGGTAGGACTGTTTATAGATACCATCTATTTTAAGGCTTTATTTTAATAAATTTTAAAAATATAACTTAAAAATATGAAATTGCAACTTTAAACAATAGTTTCTGTCGAGTACGACGTGAGTATTTACAATATTGATGTAATGGATTTGAAAACAAGCCAAAGTTTATATAAATTTATCTCCAAGAAATTTATGAAATGTTGTAGCACTATGGCCCTTGAGACAATTTTGGCTCTTTATAAAATTGTCTCTTCAATTTGGTCTATAAAGTCAAATCATAAGTACTAAATGAACGTGGTTATAGTTGTTCGTAAAAAAACAGTGATGTTTTAGTTAAATTATAATCATTGTCAAAATAGTCCACAAATTCTAGCTGTTTATTGACCTATGGTCGATTGACCAAAAATAGGTAATGTTGCCTGTCTTGTTTGTGGGAAATATAGAGTTTTATTCCTTATATGGCGTGGAAATTCACGTCAAGGTTATTAAAGACCTGGGAAAGTAGGGGGTATAAATTAGGGTGTAGAGGAGAGCTAGATTAGAGCTCACCCAGACATTCTTACCAGTCATTATCATTGAGAACGAGGAACCTGCAAAGTTATTTCCAGTTTACTAATAAAGCTGTGAAATCATTGTTGCTGTAGTATTATTTACGATCACAAGGAACACAACAAATAAAGAAGTCCGGTAGTACTACAATGTCGGCTAGTTTCTTGAAAGAGAAGGATGCTCGGGACATTTGCATTGAAAGCAGCATGAGAAAAGTTCCGTAACTGCAACATCAGGGTGGGATGAATGGACTTCGGTCACATCCTTAGGAATAATTGTCCCAAACAACTTTTTGCAAGACTATTTTTTTCTTGCGACGATTGGACAGAATTTCACATCCCCACTAAATAAACATAATTTCATTGCAGCCCCATAGTCACGTGACTGTCCGTCAACAATTGGCTTGTGATCGCGATAGCGGCTACAGTTAAAGGATCCTTATCAAATTTGATCAACATCTCAATTTTCTTTTCGGATGGCATATCGGTTTTTCGAGACAGGGATATTGGGGGACCATGGAAAATCATATTTTTTACGCAAGTTTTATATTTCAGTTTTGGGGGGTTGGGTGGCCGAATGGTTAGCACGAGCGCACTGTATCATAAGGACTGTCATTGAGTCAACTGGCGGGGTTTCGATTCCCCGGTTGTACGTGGCAAGGAGTAGGGTCGCCTGTCCAACCTCGTGGGTTTTCTCCAGGTCCTCCGGTTTCCTCCCACTGCTAAAGACCCCTAGTGCAAGCGAATTATTGAAATAAGATTTGCCCGAAATGACCTAGTTTGTGTCGAGTGGACGTTAAACCCCATTTCTCTCTATATATTTCAGTTTTCTGGAGAATATTGATCGAGTAACGAGAAAGAATTATACACCAACTGTACAAGATATATTGTATATAAGACAACCTACACTAGGTGTTATAGAAAACACGTTTGAAATAGATAATCTTATATACCGGTAAGTATAGAAATAGATAATCTTATATACCAATCAGTGTAGAAATAGATATAGACAACCTTATATACCAATAAGTGTAGAAATAGATAATCTTATATACCGGTAAATGTAGAAATAGATAATCTTATAAACCGGTAAATGTAGAAATAGATAATCTTATAAACCGGTAAATGTAGAAATAGATAATCTTATAAACCGGTACGTTTAGGAAACTCCAAACTACATTGCTAACGTTGTAAAGTCGGTGATCGTCATTTGTTCAGAATAATGACTGACTGAATGAATGAATAAAATGGGGTTTAGCGTTCTACTTTTCTGCATTAACTGGGGTAATGAAGACGGCCGTACACCATACAGTGTGCTATGAGGGAATTGTTGCCCGGAATTGAATTCCATTTGTTGAGAACTATATTACGTGCACGTCAATGTGTACACAAGATGTCAGTTTTTCGTCTCATCCGAACGACTAAACGCTGTTACATGCCAGGCCCGGACAAGGGGAAACAACACTAGAAATTCTAAGGAAACTTTCTCGACTAACACTGGTATCGAACCATGGACCTCCTGAATAGTGAGCCAGCGCCCTACCCGCGGAGCTCAGACTGATTACATTACTAACGTCGTAAAACTACCATGTGTCTCAGATCCGGGGATCGTCAGTTTTTTTTTCAGACTAGTTCAAAAATACATTGCTAATGGTAGGTTCCAACTGTCGTGCGATGTCTGACGATAGGATTGCCCCTATTGAGTCCACGTTCTGATACGTGCAGATAAGTTCGGAAACGTTTCGATACGATCAACACGATTCCTACGACTGGCCACAATATATGATAAGACCTAATAGGATCACCACGATTACTCCACAAATTACTCGTGATATAACAGTGGCAGCCCAGTATAATGTCGTAAAAATACAACATACCTGCCTTTGATCGCAATTTGATGGATTTTTAGTCTCTTGCAATCTATAATAAAAGTTGAATCACAAACAAAAATATCAGCCCAAAAATGATTCAGTTCGGTTCTGTCTTTACAAAGACATGCTGAATCGAACGTACGATACTAGATCTTTGTACGATCTAAGAAATATCTTTCCGTGTTTATACCCACTACCAACAATTCTAACCCTAACCCTTCAGAATAGTTTTAGCCACAATCCACCGTTATTACAGCTTCAATTTGTACGTTTTACATGTAATTTATAAAGCTAACCCTAGAGAAAGATATTTCTCAGATCGTACAAAGATCTAGTATTGTGCGAATCGAACATTTCCCAACAATTCTGCAGACGATATAAGCTGGCGCCACCTATAAATGTTGAGAAAATGTTTTTGATCCGATTGAATTTAAGCCGGGAGATTATCTACTAATGTTTTTGGTTTCTTTTAAATTAAATATCTGAGTACATCACGTGGAATAAATCCTGAATTTGATATTGGTCGGAGCCACGGTGGCTCAGTGAGTAAGACGCTGGCTAGCTAGCCTGGCGGTCGTCGGTGCGTTCCCGGTGTTGGCCGGGAGAGTTCATCCAGATTTTCCGGCGTGACGGAAGGGCTGACAAGGGCAGCTATCTATAGTCGTTCATAAGGACGAAAACAACGAGATCCCGTTGGAATTCGATATAAGAGTAGGGCGTAGCACCGCGGTCCGGGCACAATTTCCCTCATAGCACACTGTATATCCGTCTTCATAAGCCCAGTCGGAGTAGAACAGTAGGACGTTAAACCTCATTTCATTTCATTTTGATATTGGCCATTTAGCAATCAGAGTCTTAAATCATGTAACTCACCTCAACAATCTATTAAATCCCCAATTATAAGAGTGCAGAGGAATGTGCAACCTCGCAGATGATATCCGACAATTTGTTTTTCAGGCTTCCTCAATAAATCGTCAAGAAGGAAGCAATTTGCATCGACCTTGTGGTTATCGCTATAGTTACAGAAAAAATGTCTAGCTGGAGTTCCGCTTCAGATTTTCGTTTTTATAAGTTTGTCATCGCAATCCGCTGTCAAGAGTTTCCAAGATTTGTTTTTAAGACAGTGAAATAGTCTCCAATGATGCATCGATTTATAATTTGATTCAGTGTTTCGTTCGCAATAATCGAATATAATGGACGAAATGTGAACATAGGTTCTGCGCATTTAGACATAAAAAAAGGAAATGGTGTTTAATGTCCTAATTAGAACAGGGGAAATGGCCCAATGGTTAGCGCGTGCGCGTTATAACATAAGGTATGTCATTGAGTCAACTGACGTAATTTCGATTCCCCGGTTGTACGTAACAAGGTGTAGGATCGCCTGTCCAACCACGGGGGTTTTCTCCGGGTCCTCCGATTTCCTCCCACTGCTAGCTAGTGCTAAATACCCTGGCAATGGACATGGTATAGTCGTTTGGATGGGAAGAAAACCCGAGGTCCCGTATACACATTGGCATGTACGTAAAAAAAACCTTGGCGGTTGGAATGTCCGTTTTCATTAGGCAAGTCTAAGCAGAACAGTAGTACATTAAACCCCATCTCATTTATTGCATTGGGATGTATTGTAATTTTATATTACATACGTTTTAGTTGGGAAGCCAACTATGTATATTGAGGTGTATTGTTATTTGTGTATATTTTATTTTATAGTGTTATAGACGTTTTGGTTGGGAAACTGGGGTGTATTGTTATTAGTGTGTATTTTATTTTATAGTGTTATAGACGTAGCTGGCCAGAAGAGTTTAAGAAAGAAATGGATTCATTTCTTCGAAGCTGTGACGGCTGTCATGTTCTTTGTACCTTTAAGTGGATATGATGAGGTGCTGGAAGAAGATACAACAGCAGTGAGTATAAAATGCATTCTTCACACAGCGAATTATCTACATGTACCTTGAGAATAGATTCATGTCATGAATGGCCGCCATATTCAAATATTAGTATATATATCCATACACACACAGACTAAAAAAATTTTCGATTTTATTAAATGGAAGAAGAATAAGTATCAATTAAAATGTCGGTCAGTTAGCTTCGTGTCTGTTCTCAGGCGGAGCTGATATACAGACAGCGTAACTTTTGTATGACCTAAAATAGTTTCTATTGTCTGTGATATCACTACAATGGAAGCAGACATTAAACCCACCAGCTACTATTACTATTACTTGTCGATTTTGTCATTGCATTTTAAATGTTGATTTGTTTTGTGTGTGCGGGAATGGTGGGTGGGTAGGGGTGTTGGATTGGGGTAAATCTGTCTATAGATAAGACCTGTGTGATCAACAAAAACTAAAAATAGCAAACAGACTGACTTACGCTTAATCTTTCGAAACAAAAGTTTAATCATGTAGAGCGTCATTCTGCACACAGACAACTATCTTCTTCGAGAATAGATCTCAGCTGCTCCAAATGGCCGCCATATCCAAACAATAGTATACTATTTTGTAATGTGGTTCTACACGTTTTTTGTTATCTGCTATACACACAAAGACTAAATAAACATTTTGAATGATATTAAATTAAAGCAGAATCAATATTTCTCAAAATTATCAAAGTATACTTAGAGTTTTCGACAAAAATCGTCGATTTAGGACTTAAAATGTCGGTCTACTAACTTAGTGTCTGTTCTCAAGCTGAGCCAATTGTAGACAGACAGTCTAACTTTAATCATGTACAGCTTTCCCCACCAATAATAGAAATAGTGCATCGGATCAACCTCAACTCAGCAAATAAGTCGATTAAAAAAATTCTCTTCTTGGCCTTTCAGTTGTTTATGCTATTTTTAATGGTGTGGAATTTTGAGGAAGTTTTACAGAAACTCAGTCTGCGAGAATTTATTTTATAATCATGCTTATCCGTCTTATTATCATCCGTTATTATTGTATATTTCAGAACTGTTTACAAGACAGCTTACAGGCATTTCATGAAGTATCTCATAATCACTATCTAGAGAAAACAGATATGATATTATTTTTGAACAAGAAAGATTTGTTCATGCAGAAAGTTAAGAAAGTCAGCATAGCCAACTGTTTTCCTGCCTATAAAGGTTTGTGATATTATTGGATATTCCTTCCTGGAAACCCTTGTCCAAATATAAATATTATTTATTAATAATCTTTGTATGGTTAAATCTCTATAGGGTTTAGAAGTAACTGAAATGAAATCAGTTGGGTTAATGACGACGGGCATACGCCATACAGTGCGCGATGACGGAAATTTTTCCCGGGCGGTGGCCATCGGTCCTACGCCACAGACAAGGGGAAAACCACGCTGGAAAATCCCTGGGAACTTTCTCGACTAACACCGGGATCGAATCCCGGATCTTCTAAGCAAAACTTCCAATACTCACACATGTATAGCAATGGCCGGTGCTAGACTATGGAACTGAATAGCACACGTCATAACTTTTGTGGATCTATGGAACCAACCGCTGAGCCCCAAATGTCAGTAATGCGACCTCTTCAATCTGTGACCCAGGTAGAAGCCTGGTTGCTCTAATAGTAGATGTTATGTAGATATGAACATATCTATTCAATTGATTTTCCGAGGATAACACATTTCTCGCAAAATTAATACTTGTGCAATCTTTATAGAACGAAAATTTTATTAAGATGATTTTTTTTAAGAACATCTACATCTCTAATGAAATTTTGTTAACGCTGCAGTGGTCATATTAAACTTGGTAATATTGTGGAAAACTAAGCTGTTTCGTTAACTGGCAAGCCATGTTTTTTATTAAAAAAATTTTTAGTCAGAGGTTGTTAAAGGGCTAATCCCGATATTTTTTGGAGAATAAAACTGCTTAATTTTGTGTTAAAATCCCTTAAAATCCTCTAGCCGAGGGCCGAGCAACTAACTCCTCTAGCTGAGGGCCGAGCAACTAACCCAATATTTGTGATAAGTTTTGAAACCACTTAAACCCGTCAGTCTTCGTCTTGAAATGAAGACCGGTGTCCCAAGCTGTATTATGCGGCGTCTGGATAAAACAAGACTTTTATTTTATAAAAATAACGTGTAGTTGAAATTTACCTTTCGTTATCAAGTACAGCACATGGGTCATTCACTACATAGACCTCTCAAGGAACGGGAATCGATTATCAGGTCACTCAACGAAAAAACTGACCCGAAATCTTAAAAGGGTTATGTGTCCGGATAAGCAATGTTGACATTCACGTCCAAACGACTCAATATTTTGAGCTGGAATTTTGAGAGACGGTAAATACCCCATTCCTCTATATTTTGGCACTTAAATTACATACGTACTCCGACTTTTATTTTTGAGACTCTCTTGATATCGGGATAGTCCCTTTAACGCTGTAGGGGCCATATTAATTAATTTGTCCTTGTGGTCGGGACAACAACGCTGTTTCGTTAACTGGTAACCCATATTTTCAAATAAGAAAATTTGGATTAGAATATCTAAATCCTCAGCGAAATTTTGTTGGCTCTGTACAGTCATATTTAACATTTTTTTCTTTTAATCTGGACGAAAAACCTGTTTCGTTGCCTGGCAACCCATGTTTTTGTTAAATAAAAAAAATAACCTCATGTATATTTCAGGAGACAATACACCGGAAGCGAGTTTAAAGTACATCAAGGATCAATTTATACAACACAAACCAGGACATAAACAAGTGTACATCCATGTGTCATGCGCAGTAGATGTTAAGATGATGAGGGACATTCTTTCTAGTGTCATTGATATTATCGTTGAAATTAATCTTCGTAAGACACAGAACCTCTAGGATGTTTTGTTTGTCAACCGTCTCGTCTCGTATTATCAATCGTCGTTAAACAGGAAGCCTATAAATAGCATTTATGTCAATTTGAATAAAACCGGAAACCATGGTCAGTAGAATCTTTTTGTGTATCTTTGTCAACCAGATAACCTGTGTGATGTTTTTGCAAATCTTTATAAAATCAGCACAAAAACAGAAACTTGTAGAATTTTTGTCAATCGTCACCAAGCAGTGGTCCTGAATTGTATTATATTTCCACCATTTTCTTTAACATAGAGTCTTCAAAGTGATTAGAATTTGTCTTCTGCGAAAATTAGAACGAATTCTTATAGGATAGTTCTTATTTATTACTGGATGTCCGAGTATACATGATTCAATAAAACGTAAATGGATTTTATTTTGGATTAAGTTAAAACTCTATATTCCTGTGCGATGTGCTGTTTTATGCTTATATTCTACTTTTTAACTATTAACAACGCTGTTAATGAATTCAGCCAACAAAATAGGATTGGAATTATAAGTTAAACTGTATTGATGTATATCTATTCACAAGTTTATTGGAGGTGTAATTCTGTGTTCATGACGATGTCTGGAATTTCTGTGACAGAAGTAACTGGATATTAGAAACACAAAACAGACAATAGTATAATGGTCATCACTGGAAAATGTTTCAAAATAAGAATGGCGCGGATGTATCGCATGCTTTGGTTTCCATTTCCAGATCAGTACAACTTCGTTTTTATTCTGATGTCGTGGATTTAAATTCTTTCGGAATAATATTTTTGTTTTGCCGTACTATCAAAAAGAATACAGCACTAATATGTTCTATAATATGTTGCGTAGTTACAGTCTCGGACTTCACAACTTAATCCAGGCTACAATTTACTCAAATTGATTGTTTGGCATTTATTTAAGAAAACAAAATCGAAATATAAATGGATTGGATTCAATCGGATTAAAAAGAAGCCCAACAGGTGGCGTTGGTTTATTTATATCGTCGGCAGAAGACGCTGAAGGTTACAAAATTGTCATTTCACCGTTCCTTCGTAATTCTGAATGTTATTAAATCATTTTGGACCGAAATTTCTTTCAGATATTCAACTTTTACAATATCGTAGTTCGCAAGATTCAAAATCCCTCATATAATGGCTTTCAGTGGTTTTAACCTTTTCTTCATTAAGTTGGACATCCGGTTTTATAAACCGTGAGTCGGAGAAGTATTTAGATATACAGTTATCTCCGAGTTAATATATTATTTATTGTTTGTTAACATTGTGTATAAAAAAAAGAATCAATATTAATTTAATTGTACATAATGCGTATATATCTATTTATGGGTGTTCTTGTGTCAATACTAAATTACGCAGAATATTAACTATTCTGAAACTTGTTTTTCCTTGGCTACAATCTGTTTAAAGCATTAAAGATTTTATTAACCAGAACAGATGCTCTGTTTGCTGTGAGGTTTGGATATCTTCGGGAGGTGGACCATTAATGGCCGTATTGTAAACTTAATGTGTGGTTGCCTTGTAGATTTTAATCATTAAAGATACATTATGGGAGATTAGATAAAGAGCTGGCAGTTCTCACTATAATACTTAAAAACTAGATAATGTAAAAGGAATTTGCTGAAAATTTCAGTCAAACTGATCCACTCTGAACCGAGAATTTGGCGATTGAATTTTCGGCCTAGCCTCGATCATCATTACTAAAGTCGGTACGACAAAAAACGTACTCTCGATTATCCATTTCATGATTTAATCATAAATGAAAGTTGAGTAAATATCGCAGGCTAGCGATGACATCGAGAGTTGATTAAGGTCTGGATAAGTTAATTTATGTCGAATTAATAATTTATATAACATTTCACGGTTCACGCAATAGGCAGATTTAGCTCTTGCATAATGTATGTTTAATATATAACTCTCACAAATGTACGTAGGAAGGTGGTCCGCATTTATTTGGTCTGTCAATAATCTCAAACAATTTCTTTCGCCGAATAAATAAATGCATATGCAACAATATATTAGGTGCGTTTTTGAAATAAATAATATGCATGCAATGCCCGTGTACGACACCTCTTTTACTTTTAGCTGTGTTGAAGGATAGCTTACTGAACTTGTACTCTAATTCGATCCAAACAATACGACTTGATCTCAAAATTATGTTGGTGCAAAGGTCTAATGCCAAACTTTGCAACTGCCACCTCGACATCGGTGTTTGTAGAGAAAATTACTCGGGATTTTCCACCCTGATTTCTTCAGGACGGTGGATTGGCGAGAAACGGCATCTAGTCGTTTGGATGGGACAAAAAACGTTGTACATGTTGGTCTGCAAGTTCAAGGACCATTAGCTATTAGAATTCGATGAACACAAAGCGAAAACGAAGCTGCCCGAGTGAAATTGTCCTCACAGCAAATTGCATAGGACTTTTCCGTCTTCAATAGCCCGGTTTGAAAATTAGGAAGGTCAACCAAATTTCAGTGCACTTCATATATCGACAATGGAATCTAGAAATTCGAGAAAACGAGGTTTAACTGTACAGAATGTATGAAAGAACAAGAATATATGAAATTCCTTTATCTCTTATTTCTCTTTATGGTGACGTCTTTCCACAATTCCATCTGATTGCTGCAACCTCAAAAAAAACCTTAGAATCCCGTGAGTCACAGTACAGCACTGCTTCCTGTTTTGTTTAATTGTCGCCCTCGCCCCCCCCCCCTCCCACTTGTATCTCAGTGGTAAATGCTAGGTTCCAACTGTCGTGCGGTGCGTTACGGTTCCAACTGTCGTGCGGTGCGTTACGGTTCCAACTGTCGTGCGGTGCGTTACGATAGGATTGTCCCTATTGGGACCACGATCTGCTACGTGCAGATACGTTCGGATACGTTTCGATACAATCAACACGATTGCTACGACTGACCACAATATACGATAAGACCTGATAGGATTACCACCATTACTCTAACTGAGTGATGGTGATGAAAAACGTTTAATGCTGCTCAATGCGAACAGAGTGTTAAACAATTTGATTGGTCGATGATTTATAACTCGAATACATGGATTTCAGTTGAGTGGAAGTGGTGAATGTCTTGTGATCAGCGTGTCGAGAATGAGCATTTTGATGGATTGAGACTTTCGAGCGCGATAACTTTGGAACGCAACAGCCATGCTTCTAATTGCGGTAGAAACTTCAAACTATGTGTACGTGTTCATTAGGTGAATGTCTTGACTGAGATCGGTAATGGACATTTTCTACTTAGGCTAAGCAGTGTCAGACTGTCTGTCCGTCTGTTACAACCACTACAGGGGTACAAGCCGGGGGACATCAGTTTTGACAATTTGTTTTTATCTTGTAGAATACGCTTCATCTTTGTTATCATATTACCACTATCCCATTCTGATTAAAACACAGATCCTATTTCGTTTCGTTTTATATAGTTCAAAATTTCGTTTTACTTGTCTTCACTACACTAGGAACTGGAAGAGATGTTATATAACCCGCGTTCTGGGCGTGAGGGATTAGCCAATGAAGCGGTCTATTACGACGAGTTCTTGACGTACTGTACAAGGAACTGTGGGTAAACCACTAGAAACGTCAACGCTGGTTGATTAATCAATGTCTGGAATCATAGGGTCAAAATCCGCTCCCACTACAACCAGTCAGATCTTCATGTAGTGTAGGCCATTCAAAGTATTAAAAAAAACGAAACGAAATATAGATCTGTATTATAATCCGATTGCCACTATCCCAACATGTATGAAAATTCAAAGATGTGTAAATAATTCCCATGATATTTATTTTATTATAATTTATGTCTGTAGAGAAGTAGAATTAGATTAGTGTTATATGAAATAATATAAAGAGCAATATATAATGATGTATACTATATATATATATCTGTATGAAATGCTGTGCTGATCGTGTTTCATACCAAATAAATAACAGAAGCCTATAAACACACAAACGAAGCTTTCTTATTTTCTTTACTAACCAGATAAAAATATCTAGCCTGGTTTATTTATCAAATAACCATTTGAAATTAATTCTGTTTTTATGAAGAAAATCGTTTGTTTTCATGCCGGTGAACTAGATTTCTTGTTTTCGTATTTTCTTGATTAGGTTGCGCCTGTGTCACTACCATCATCATGGAAGGTCGCTGCGATCTGTTGGTTTACGGAATCCGTGCAAAAAAAAGATTAATGCATAAAACATACATTTCTGTGTAAATAAAGGGAGGGATACGACGCAATCTGTAGCAAGCTAGGTCTGTAACCACGCGGTTGCATGTTCGATCTTCACTGTGCCTGTGTGCTCACGATGCTATATATTTGTACGATCTGGTAAATATTTTTCCGTGTTTATACCGACAATTCTAACCCTAACCCTTCAGAATAGTTTTACCCACAATCCACCATTTTTACAGCTTCAATTTGTACGTTTGACATGTAATTTGTAAACCTAACCCGAACCCTAACCCTAGAGAAAGATATTTTCCAGATCGTACAAAGATCTAGTATTGTGCCCTGTGAGGTGCACTTAAATAGAGAGATCGTCCCTTTATTCGAGTCTACCCATCTGTAATTGGATAACGGGTCAGACGTGACCGGTATTCATGCCACAGAGCCTCCAATCCGATCCCCGATGCTTTACTCTAGAAAGTTGTCTTCCTCCGGCCATGGATTGGGTAGTACGTGGATTGGATTGGGACGTGTTCTCGGGGGTGCTGTAATATTGACGGACATTGTATATCTATTTTTTATGGAGGGGGGGGGGCGAAACTTTTTGCAGAGGCAGAGGGGGGGGGGGGTGCGAACCTGCGCCCCCCTCCCCGCCTAGTTACGGGCCTGTACTTGTCTTTACTACACTAGGATCTGGAAGAGTTGTTATATAACAGACGTTCTACGTGATGTGAAGAATTAGCCAATGAAACGGTCTGTTACGGCTAGTTCTGTGCCTTTTTATGCACGGAACTGTGGGTAAACCAGTATAAACGTCAACGCTGATTGATTAATCAATGGCTGAGGTCATAGGGTCATCGAAAGTATAAAAAACGAAACGAAATATAGATCTGTATTTTAATCAGATTGAACATTGAACGCGATAAATGATCAATGGTTTAGGGGAGATAACTATAGCTACTATACGTTTATTTAAATTATGACCCTAGTTTCCCCCGTACAAAGTTTGTGATTTGAAGATATATTTGGACTAAATACATTTTTAAACTAGTTTATCTATCAAAAGTTTGCTTCAAATCCCTCTCAAACAAATTTAATCGCAAGAAAGCTACCCATTTCCGCGAGAAACTATTTTAAGCCACTTTTTTTTCTGAATTTGTTAAAGGAGAATCCATTCTGAGCTTGTATTTGTCGTTAGTCGCTGTCTAATTAAATTCTTGGATTATCCTCTGTCAGCTTCCTCTTCCATCGGGGAGCTGGATGACTGAATGGATAACGCGTGTGCGTTGTATCACAAGGTCTGTCATTGAGTCAACTGGCGTGGTTTCGATTCACCGGATTGTACGTAACCAGGAGTAGGGTCGACGGCCCAACCTCGTGGGTTTTCTCCTGGTTCTCCGGTTTTCTCCCGCTGCTAAAGACCCCTACGCGCAAGCGAATTATTGACATAAAATTGAACCATATGTTAGTCCCGAAATGACCTAGTTTGTGTCGAGTGGACGTTAAACCCTCTGACCCAGAATACAAGTGAAGGATAACACGTTCGCCTGGCCGTCTCGACAGGATGCCAATCATGCTGAGATTTCATTCCAAGTCATGCAAAATTATAAACTATACATGCCGTTGAAGTAAACAAAACACTCATGTCAAAAATATAAATTCAACATTATTTGATGGATATGATGTAATTTATGATAAAGCTGGCATACAAAAAAAAATAATTCTAGTTACCTTAAATACATTATGTGATATGCATACACTGAAAAAAAAAACTTGTGTTGAAACAACACAAACTTGTGTTAAATGTGGAAACAACACAAAACTTGTGTTAAAATTTATCAAACAACACAAATTTGTTTTCGAAACTTGTGTGAAAATCTACACATAACTTGTGTTGAAATTTTTGAAACTTGTGTTGAAATTTTTGAAACTTGTGTTGAAATTTTTGAAACTTGTGTTGAAATTTCTGAAACTTGTGTTGTTTCATACAAACTTGTGTATAACCCCTCCGTTTGTTCTGTTTAAACTGTAATGTTTGATAAATGACATAACAATAATTTTGTTTGTTAAATTAATATTTATTCAATAAATGATATGAAAAATTAAATTAATGTCAAATCAATACTAAACAGACATTTCGAAGGTTAATAAAAAAAAGTTAATTCCAATGCAATTGATACAATGAAAAAATACTCCCCACCCACCACCAATCATAAATAAAAATAGCTAAAAAAAACACCAAAAACAAGCACTAAGACATTTGGAATATAAATAAAGTTAATTCCAATAATAACAAAATTCCCGACCCCGACTTCCCAATCACAGAATAAAATAAAAGCTATTTAATTTTTTTTATCAATTAACCTTAAAAAGAACTGAGAATATAATAGATATGTACACAATATCCCTACCCCATTTCCCCAAAACATATATTTTAAATATATCTAAATTTAATAACAACCAAGCCAAGCACTAAAGACATTAATTGGGCACTAAATTTGGGTATCTTCTGAACTGATCTTGCATACTTTTGTCTATTGCTCTTGTTATCCATAGCGCACCGATATGACTGGAATTCAATGGCTACTTGAACAGCATTTTCTAAACCAGTGATTCTCAACCGGTGTGCTGCGGCACACTGGTGTGCCGCGAGATCTTCCTAAGTGTGCCGCGAAATTTTGAACAGTAGGACGTTAAACACGATTTAATTTCATTTCTAGTCCAGCAATTAATATTACAGTTTTCAAAATGAGCTTTATAATCCATTAATGGCGTGCTTCCGTCATACTTTTCTGCCAGCAATATTGCCTTTCTGTTAGTCTGTCTTTGCTGTTGTGGCGGTTGTGTATGTAACGCAGCCGTGGACTGTGGAGTTAGTTAGGGTTAATTCTGTGTTGCCTGTTCGAGAACAATGTGAACTGGATTCGGCCATCGTCTCTGATTTCTTGTAAAACTGTTTAAGTCGGGTATTTTGATTGGCGTTTAAGATGTTAAAACTGTTCTGTTTTCAAATGTCGGACAAAGCCAGCTTTTAAAAGAGATGATTTGTGCCCGTATCAGGTAGGATTATAAGCTTAATTGTAGTTGGGTGTGACAGAATGTAATAAATAACAATAATCAAACGTTGTTTTGAAGAAAAAATTGACAGTTTTGCTTATTGAATATCCGATGTGATTCACATCGGGTAGTTCAGGAGGAACTATATATTAGTACTATCTCTTATCTCGAAACACGCAGTTTCGAGAAACGCGTTTTTTTTTATCTAGTCTTTGTGGAGAGAGGTCAAAACTGACACTAATTCCATATAAAAAAATTCACAGGGGTGGATAGGACAAAAAACCAAGGTCCCGTGTACATGTTCGCGTGTTCATTTAATTTTATCACAAGGTATTTTGCAATTGTAGTGGACTAGCGAATATTCACTTCTGATCAGTGTGGGCATTTGGTGGTAATGCCGCTGTACGAACAGAGATAATATATGCTACGCCAATAAACACAACAGAAGAATAATATGATCTCCAAATATTTAAACTATTTATATCATAATTACATAATTGGCATGGTTAAATACGGTAAGATAATTGAAATATTTTTAAAATATTGGATGTGTAAGACAACAGCTTAGGGCAACAAAAGACCGGGGAGGGGAGAGGCGAGGAGGACACATTTATTTTACCAGTGCCAGATTTACCATGGTGCAAATGAACCAAGTTTACAAAAAGGGGCCCTACAATAAATGACTAAAAAACACTTATGCATATATACAAGATGAAAATATAGAAAAAAAAGACTTTTCTTAATTCAGCATTCATCTATGTTTTAATATTTATTTTACCGGTTTTTTTCGGGGGGGGGGGGGGGTTGCAATACATTATAGACCTTGGCCTACATATTATAGAGGGCAGCATAATCATGTCTGTGCCTCAATGTTTAAGCCTTGGTAAGACCTCTAAATATCTGAATCTGTCGCTGATCTAGGGGTTTGCTTCACATCCCTGCATTTATCTGCCTTTTATTGTGAATCCTTAATAAATTGAACAAGCAAAGACATTAAGCGGTCTTCGGCAAACTCGAGCGGGTCCTCCGTCTAAAATGGAGTTATCTCTCTTTACTTTTATTTGTATTGACAATAACATCAATAATCCATCGGATTAAAAAAATGTTTAGAACATTTAAGGTTTAGGGATTTACATCAAAAATACAAATGAAGAAATGAATTAAATCTTGACACAGATATTTACGCGGAACATGGTTGCCTGTAACAAAATGAAAAGCTTTTGTAGGGATAACTCTTCCTGAATCCCAGCCCCATCCCATTGAGCCAATCAGCGCAGTCGCTCAAACTCAGAAGCTTCACTGTGACCAAAACATGGCCGCTGTCATTGAGTGTAAATGTCTAGACCATTTTAAACGCTTGGTTTTCTTTACTATCGCCTTCTTGGTCGTTGTGTAAATTTATATTTGAATAGGTAAGTATTTAAGCTTTTTGAATATGTAAAAACGATATTTCCGGGCGGTGGTTTTGGTCCAAATTTATCGTGTTGAAGATAGCAGTTCTCATTGTTCGCTTCAGACAGGACCCAACACCGATTGCTCGTAATTCACATCAGTGTGCAGTATTATACTGTTAAGTTTAGTGTAATTTAGTAGGCATATACATGTGTAATACATAGTTATAAGTTATTGTTATGCATTGCTTACATTAAATCCATTTTAATAGGTAGGCCTAGTCTACATTTATTCAAACCAAAGATTTGTGATGTTTGTTTATATTATACATGTAAACATAAATGATTATTTAATTAAAGGGGCACCACACAGCCTTTCTAAGTATTATTGAACTAAGACTAGACAAAACTCCAATCATTATTAGTATATTCAATGCTAAAGGGACACTGTTACTGTGGCAACCAGATTCACCTACTGGTAAAAATAAAGTGTCTAGCTAGATCAGACCGGTTCACGTTGGATTGAAATTTTGAATGTAATATTTTTGTAATCCATCCATATCCATCCACATGCGTAAACAGGCACTGTGGCTTGTGCAGTTTAAGTTGAACAGTGGCACCCTGTTACTGTGACAACCAGATTCACCTACTGGTAAAAATAAAGTGTCTAGCTAGATCAGACCGGTTCACGTTGGATTGAAATTTTGAATGTAATATTTTTGTAATCCATCCATATCCATCCACATGCGTAAACAAAGTGTCTAGCTAGATCAGACCGGTTCACGTTGGATTGAAATTTTGAATGTAATATTTTTGTAATCCATCCATATCCATCCACATGCGTAAACAGGCACTGTGGCTTGTGCAGTTTAAGTTGAACAGTGCCACACTGTTACTGTGGCAACCAGATTCACCTACTGGTAAAAATAAAGTGTCTAGCTAGATCAGACCGGTTCACGTTGGATTGAAATTTTGAATGTAATATTTTTGTAATCCATCCATATCCATCCACATGCGTAAACAGGCACTGTGGCTTGTGCAGTTTAAGTTGAACAGTGGCACCCTTTGATGAATTTAAAAAATTAATGTATGATATGTTTGTTCTGTAGCAACCGGTGCTTAGAATTGGTTCAAAGCCAATTCCCCCCGATTTCTGATCAATGCAATTATTTGTAAGCATTGATTGTGATCGTCTTCCAGGACACTCAAAATCATGTATTTACTCTAAAAATTTAGAAAATTCTCTGTTCTGAAAAAACCTGACACTACTTTATTACATGGACTACTATGTATATTATTACGGGTATATAGAAAACCTTTTCGCTTGTAGTTATTTTTAAAAGTTTCTTCTTTTTATTAACAGTATATTTTCATCGGATGTTAGATGTGTCGATGACAAAATGATGGAAAGAAAGATTCGATTAAAGACAGTAAATCCTAATATAACATGTTATCTATGTAAAGGTTATCTAATAGATGCTACAACTATAACAGAATGTCTTCATACTTGTAAGTATGCAAGAGGTGGGGGGAGAGGGAGTAGTCAAGGGTAAGGGTAAGGGCAGTGGAATTATAAGTAGGCCTACACGAGACGGTCCCCATTTGTCAAGCATAAGGGCAGTGGATTGGTAATAAACTTTCTTTCTCCCTCGGGGGGTGAATGGTTAACATGTGCGCTTTGTGGTGTGGTTTCAATTCCCCGATTGTACATGACAAAGAGTAGGATCGCCTGTCCAATCTCTTTTTCTGGGTCCTCCGGTTTCCTCCCACTGCTAAAGACCCCTATGTGCAAGCAACTTATTGAAATACAATTGAACCACATGTTACCCTAGTCCCGAAATTATCTAGTTTGTGTCGAGTGAACCTTAAACCCCATTTCTCTCTCGCTCTCAATTTCACTACAGTATCAAATCAGAAACTTTCCTGAGAGCAAATACTACACACTAAAATACTGTATAATTTAATCTGTTAAACGCATATTAATAATAATAGTATTTTTATTTTGTAGTTTGTAAGAGCTGCCTTGTCAAGTTTCTAGAAGAAAACACAACATGTCCAAAATGTCATCTGGTGATCCACCAGAGTTATCCTTTAAACTATATCAGGTATGTTATTAATTTATTTTATCAATCTGATTAGAATACAGATCTATATTTCATTTCGTTTTTTTTATACTTTCGATAGCCTACACTACATAAGGATCTGATAAGTTATAGTGGGAGTTCACGTCAGGGGTCAAACGTGAGCGGCTTTTGACCATAAGACGTCAGGCATTGATTAATCAATCAGCGTTGGTGTTTCTAGTGGTTTACCCACAGTTCCGTGCATCAAAAGGCCAAGAACTGGCCGTAACAGAACATTTCATTGGCTAATCACTCACATCATCCGGAATACGTCAATGATAACAACTCTTCTAGATCCTCCTAGTATAGTAAAGACAAGTAAAACGAAATTTTGAACTATAAAAACAAAACAAAATAGGATCTGTGTTTTAATCTGATTGAATAAATTAAGAGTATAATTTCTCTAGGATATCTTTCCATTGAACCGTAGAATTTAATGGAGAATAGGCAAAAGCCCTAACTCTCCTGCCATAATTCTCCTGTTTGTATTGTACACATGACAATTGTATTGAAAAATACCCAAGTTGCGGTGAAAGAGTACACGTACCTTGTTCATCTTGGCATAATAATTGTAAGATATCATTACTACACATGACCTTAACAGGGACAGGAGGTGTGTCTCTATACTGCACTGTTGATTGACTCCTCATGTCAACAACAACATCTGCCTTCTGTGGAATAACATACAGCATAACAGTCACCCAAGCCTGGAAATAAGGCACCGGTCACAGACAATGTCAGGCACAACTTCAGGCTTTGTCAGGCACAAAACCTCTGGTGCCTGTCATTTTGTCCGGCATTGATTTGTCTTTTTTAATGATATTATTAATACATGTCCGGCACTTAGTTGAAAATGTCCGGTACTATTTCATTAGTGCCTGACATTTTGTCAGGTACATCTAAAACTGTTATTTCCAGGCCTGCAGTCAACACCATGATTTAGGTACCTGATGCTTTATAGATGTTATGGGCCATGGTTAGTAGGGTGCTCCATTCTGCAAAAAAATTTCAGAAATCATCTGTCCCATCTCATGATTCTGGGAAATTTTAGATTTTTCCCGTCAATACTGTGTTTTTTCCGCAATTTTTTCAAAATGGGCAAGAAATGGCAAAAATTTTGTAAGGGTCGTAATGATATATCACATACCATCTTTGTCATGCACGTTAAAGGAACCTCAGCATTTGCAATTAGAAGTGTAAGCATGGGCGCTGCACTTCGGCCAATATTATCGTGCTTAGTATTGCATGCTTGACACTGTGACTGTAGTAAATAAGGATAACCATAAATGTTAAAGTCTGATGAATTGTGTTGAAAGGACACTGGTTGTCCTGCTTTTCTAATATATGTTATTCGTTTCCTCTTTTTTAGTTTTGATCGAACAATGCAAGATATTGTTTACAAACTGGTACCAAATCTTTATGAAAGTAAGTAAAATAAATCTTATCATGAAAGATTACTTGACATGTTAGTGTTGAAACTCTCGACATATTTTAGTATTCGGCTATCCATCTGCACTATCCGAACATATTCAGACTATTCGTTTTATAATTTAAAAATTAGTTTTGACGTTTTAAGCGCATGCAGATTCGTCTATTGTGTACAGAGTGTGGTATGTATAAAGGCTAATAAACCATCTGATACTTATTCAAATAGATGATTTGAATTATCAGGCATCCTTTTGGCAATGCTAATGTTTTTAATATGTTTTTATTGTCACTAATAAGCTTTCAATACAGGATATATCAAACGATCACGCATCGTCTTGACAAATTAATATTTGAATTAATTATTTATTTGAAATGATCAATTAGTAATTAATTGAGTGTGAAGTTATCAGTGATTGTAGTTTTAACAAGATGTGTGCATTGATCGTAACCACCGTACTGGTCATACGAGTCTTAGCCTTGCTTCTCCATTTTTGAATTAAATCATTAAATGGCTGAACCGTTCTAATCTATTTTAAATCTTGTCATGTTAATTAATGTCTAATTAATAATTTACATGACATTTAAGTCCTAAAGGAAGACGTAGGCAGATTTAGCTCTTGCATAATGTAAGTTTAAGCCCTGAAAAATTTGATCTTGTCTGAAAAATGCAAATGGCTGTCATGTGCTTTAATGATAAACGTTATAATTTATTTATGATGTTGTTTTTAGAGGAAACAAAGAGACAGATTGAATTTTGTAAGAAGAGAGGAATACAATTTCCAGAGAACAATATCCAGGGATCAAGTAAGGCTCAGGTTTTTTGCATCCTTTTTGAGTTCATTTTACACAAAATCAACGACCAATATAAATCTAAATGTTAACACACATGACACCAATGGTGCTTATTTAGAACTAAAAGTACGATATGCAAAAATTCTAACTCGGTAATTAAACATTAAGACTTGCCATAGTTTAGTCCATTAGCACAGTTGATGCTAAAAATGAAAACATTAAACCCAACTTTATTTAAATTCATAACTTTATTTTCACCTGTGGAGTTGGGTGGTTGAATGGCCTAACACGCACACTTTAGTTCATACCATCTGTCATTGAGTCAAGTGGCGTGGTATCATTTCCTAGCTTGTATGTGACAAGGAGTAGGTTCGCCTGTCCAACCCCATACGTTCGCCTGTCAAACCCTGTAGCTTTTTTCTGATTTCCTCCAGTTTCCTCCTACTTCTAAAGACCTCTACATGCAAACAAATCATTGAAATAAAATTGTACCATATTTTAGTACGGAAATGACCTAGTTTGTGTTGAGTGGACATTAAACTCTCTCGCTCTCCCTCTCTCTCTTCAATTTGCTATATGTGTTTATATTTCAAATCAACTATTTTTTTTTATCAGATGATAATGAGAGTAACAATACAGAGCCACCACCAACTGAAGATAAAGATTATCATAGAAGTGATGATCAAGTTAATGTTTGTTTAGAGTGTAAAGGTCAATTAAAAACTTTAAAACGTAAATTTTTACGTCTCTCATCCCATGCTACGATAGCACAGCTCAAAAAGTTCATAGCTCTCAAGATTTATAATAATCAGTCCAAGTATAAAGATGTAAGTATAGACTGATTTATGTTATAAACAGACTTATCTATGTTATAAACAGACTTTATCTATGTTATAAACAGACTTTATCTATGTTATAAACAGACTTTATCTATGTTATAAGCAGACTGATCTATTTAAAAGCAGTCTTTATCTATGTTATAAACAGACTTTATCTATGTTATAAGCAGTCTTATCTATGTTATAAGCAGACTTATCTATGTTATAAGCAGTCTTATTTATGTTATAAGCAGTCTTATCTATGTTATAAGCAATCTATTATACTAATGGGAGACAAGGGGTGGATCTTTGAAACTTATGAAGCTTAAACTTCAGGATTCCTAATCCTGGAGGAACCTCATAAGTATAGACTTTTCTATGTTATTATCAATCATATTTGGGAGATAAGAGATGTATCTGCTATGAAGCTGAAGTGTCAGGGACTCTATTCCTGGAGGAGTGCCATAAGCAGCTTTAGTCCAAATTGCTTTAAGGTTTACTGTAGTGGCGGTACCATTGCCACATAGAATAGAGAAGTTTACTAAACATAGATATCCTGATAATATCCAGGATTGAATCAAGAATAAAGTTCCTGTTGAATTAAATGAGTGTCAATCACCTGACCTGAACAATTCAGATAATTTGGATGATCTGAACACTAACATCATAGGATATCAGTATAGTGCGGTTTTATTTCTGTTTCCAGGTAAACCTCATGGGTTTTCTCCAGGTCCTCCGGTTTCCTCCCACTGCTAAAGATCCCTACGCCCAAGCGTAGAATAATGAAATAAAAAATTCAACCATGTGTTAGTCCCACAATGACCTAGTTTGTGTCAAATGGAGTTAAACCCCATTCCTCTCTCTCATTCTCTCTCTCTCTCTGTTTCCAGGAGGATATTTTATGTAATGTGGTTTTATTTTTGTTTTCAGGTAGATATTTTATGTAATGAAGAAATTCTAGGTAAAGATCACACATTAAAATTTGTTCAGGTGACCAGATGGAGAAGTAAGGTAAGAGAATTACAAATATAAAATCAGTGATATACAGTACGGAGATCGCAATGATTTAACCGGACACAGTAGGTTAAAAAATAGGTACATATTCTGGCACAAATAAAGTCAGTCTTCACCATGGCACTATGAGTACAGAGCTGGCTCACTAACCAGAAAGGCCCAATCGGTTTCAATCCAATGTCAGTCACGACAGTTTATCAAAATTTTCCAGTCTGGTTTCCCCTTCCCTGTTATGTAGGACGGGAGTCTTGTCAAGGAATAGAGTCTAGTCTTCGTATACCATTGGTAGCAGGAGGATTGGATGGCCGAATGGTTAGCGTCTGCGTGCTGCATCATAAGGTCTGTCATTGAGTCAACTGACGTGGTTTCGATTCCCCAGTTGTAGGTGGCATGGAGTAGGGTTTTCTCTGGCTGCTACGGTTTCCTCCCACTGCTAAAGACACCTACGTGCAAGCAAATTATTGAAATAAAATTGAACCATATGTTAGTCCCGAAATGACTTTGTGTCGAGTGGATGTTAAATCCCATCTCTCTCTCTCTTTCTCTCCATTGGCAGCACAGTAAAGATCTCCTTACAGTTGGAAATCGGTAGAAGAGGTCGTCATAGCACCACTGTCAGGGCAAAATTCACCTCATAGCACACTATATGGCGTATGCCCATCTTCATTAGCCCAGTCCGTGTAAAAAGCTTTGTACATTTTGGTATATTTTAGATAGAAGACAAAATAGTTCTCGTTATGGAAAGCATTTGATCAAGAAGTTGTTTGATTTTGTATTTTTCAGGATAGTCCTTTATTACTACACTACAGACCACAGATCACCAGCTTATGACACATAGTTCACTTTAAATTATAACTGCTCAAATTATTTAATATACATAATGTACATTATTATATGTAAATATAGATATAATCATATTTTATACTTTAAAAGAAACTGTATGATATATGAAGAGCCCCGGGAAAGAACGATCTAAGTCACTTTTTCAACAAACCCCAGTTATGGTGCCATTTCAGGTAAAAACGATCAGAGTCACATCGAACCAAGGCCCTAATGAAATGGTCTCCCGGACAAATACGTCCATCGTACTCTTTATTTGACCTTAATTTGGCTGCAAAGTTGAAGTCAGTTGTTGTACTGGTAATTATGATTTGTATTAAACATCATTTTGAAGTTGTAATTAAACCCACTCGTTGTTCTGTTCGTGTCAAGCATTCTCGTCCTTTTTACCTTTTATGCGAAAAGACAAAAATGTGACTTAGATCGTTCTTCCCATGGACTCTTCATATTGCAGAAATAGTAAGATAACTGCTATATGTAAATATAGATATAGTCATATTTTATACTTTAGAAAAAAAACTTTCTGTATGATATATGGCAGAACTAGTAAGATTTACTGCTTTAATTTCTATGTTCATTATTATTGTAAGTCATACAAACTTTGTTATACTGTAAGGCAAGCTACATTATCACACAAGTCATACAAATTTGGTTATGCTGTAAGGTAGGCTACATTATCACTCCAGTCATACAAACTTGGTTATATTGTAATGCAGGTCTGGAAATAATGATTCTAGTCGTACTGGACAAAATCTCGGGCATTAATGAAACAATACCAGACATTTTGGGAATACTCAATTGAACGTTCCGGAATTAAATTCACTCAACCCCCAAAATAGTGACAGTCAAATGAAAAGAGGGATTTTTGGGCCACAACCCATGCACCGACTATAAAAGGAAATATCTCAAACAACCATGACAGTTGAAACATATTTGTTGTGTTCAATTACGTCATGATTCTAATCACACCACCTCAGTGGTCAGGACTGAATTTCATGTTACTCAATTGCAATTCTGTCAGTTCTGGACGTTCCAGCCTCACAATCGAGCATCCCCATTGAATCTGGTTCCAGAGATGTATTAAAACACGGATAAAAAGTAAATCTGTGTCGGATAAAATAACGGGATTGGGCCTGACAAAACTTGTATTTATTAAAGCGAGAATTGCATATTTTCTAAGAAAATCAAAACATAATTATTTCTATATCTATTTCTTAATAGGTTGTCAAATCACGACTATACAATCAGAGCAATCATTTTAGCACTTAAAAATCATTCACGTAAAAAATGGAAATAATTTTTACTTGTCGACGGTATTTGGAAATTGTATCGATTTCTTTTCACTGAATAACTAAGTATAAACAATGGAAGAGAGAGTTGTCTTGATTGTCAAAGTCTGTGGTTAAACAGATAAGAATAATGATGCCTGGTTGAGCGAGGCTTTTCAAGCTTGCTCACGTGATAATAACACCTTAAAAGTCAACGTTGGATTTATAAAGAAAATGATATATTTGCCAATTTCTCAACGGACACAAGTGAATTATAGGATTTAGGATTATTATTCAACAAGTTATGCCTTATTTCTGTGGATGCCATGTATTTTATGGCTTTATTTTAACATATTTTAAACATATGACTTAATAAAATGCAATTCTCGCTTTAAAGCTATCAATAAATACACTGATAGAAGACAAGTCGGGTTCAGATTAAATGACAGACACCAGATAGATTGTGACTGATAAAGTTTGAATCTGTAGTTGAGAATGTCTGAGATAGTTGATATATTTCCAGGCTTGTGTAGTAAGGCATGATTAACTATTGGCTGTGTTAGAAAAAAAAAAGGGCAATATAGATTAGGAAGATTCTTAGTAATCAAAATGGAAATTTAGCAATGAAATGGCATTAAACTAGTTGTTTTATATATGTCTTAATACTTTTATACATAATTTACCAATAGATTTACTCAGGCTTTATAAATATATAAATTATTATTAGTTATTCCAGATGTTTGTAAATATTTATAGGTTCAAGATTTATATTAAAAGAGGGCAATTAGCAGCAGCATTTAGATGGCTTCAACTGTAAGGTTATAGATAAATAATCGTAAAACTGGTATGACATCATGAATGTTATGGTAAATGACGATAAGAATCTATTCCATATAGAAAATACCACAGGGTGAGGCCATCTCCCCTCCATCAATGTGTAACTATTTGTCAACCACTTTACCAAAAAAAAACATTGTTTGTTTCTTCAATTCAAAACAGGGCAAATAGTTATGTTATTTATTTAGATGGCTTCAAATCTTCGGTTATAGATATATATTTGTAAAACTGGTATGACGGTCCCAAATGGGGTAGTGTATGTGTGTTTTGTTAATATTTATTGGGTCCACAAGTGAATGTTGGGACCTTCAACTTTCCTGGATGGTATCTACCAGTGGGTCCTGTTGGCTTACAACTTTTCTTGCTGAATTTTAAACACTGGTATGACCACGTGAATGTAATGAGGAATATGTAAATATTTGTTTACTCCATTACTGCCCCCATATTGTTAACTAAAATAGCTGGAAAACATAAAAAAAAAAAAAAATTTTTTTCATAAACAATATTTTATTCTGGATACCTGAATGGGACTAGGGAACAGTTTATCCTATATGAAACCCTTCTCTCTAGATGGGTCCAATATGCCGTATGTTGTATAAATAAAGATTGGTTGGGGAATCCCCTCATCATAGATATAGATAAATATACATGTTTAGGTTGATATCTTGTATATCTTGTAAAATGAGATGATGTTGAAGTTAATTACATGTATTTTAAAGTGAATGTTTAGGCTAGTCTTACAACCTTGTAGAATACCGGTTAATGTCTGTCTTTGTGTTTTGTTTTTATCTATTTTAGTGCTATTTTAATCTTTACAGTTTTTAACTTGGCTTACAGAAGCTTTAATAATGTGTTCACTGCCTTATTATAACAATTTAAGAAGAATTTAGATTGATGCCTTTATTTTGTCTTCGAAAATCAAAAGCAGATACAGGGAATCTGTCTTTAAATGACAAACTGTATTCTTACAGTTAACATAAAGCTGCTGTTCGTCATGGATTCATTTTCTATCAGATCTATATTTCTGACAAATGTAGATAGACCACTTTAATTAAAGATGCATTATGTAAGATTTAGATAAAGAGCTAGCCGTTCTTGCTATAATAGTTCCAAAATAGATAATTCAAAATTAATATATTGAAAATTTCATTCCATTTACTTTATTCTGAGTGAAGTTATGAGTATTTGAAGTTCTGACAAAATGTGTCATAAATTGTTTATTATTATAGCAATGTTACTTGTTAATCAAAACTCGGCCTCGCTTCTCCATTTTTATACGCCCACATTTAAATGTGGTCGTATATTGTCGTGGGTCCGGCGTCCACAATTGCTTGTGGACGCTCTAGAGGCTAAAGTTAATATCCGATTGACTTTAAATTTATACACAGTGTTTAAGATCATGAGACGAAGAAGCCTATTGATTTTCAGCGATTTCCGATAATTACACAGTGTTTAAGGTCATGAGACGAAGAAGCCTATTGATTTTCAGCGATTTCCGATAATTACTACCAGAGTTATGGCCCTTGATCACTTCAAAAAATCTTGTGGACGCTCTAGAGGCCAAAGTTAATATCCGATTGACTTTAAATTAATACACAGTGTTTAAGGTCATGAGACGAAGAAGCCTATTGATTTTTAGCAATTTCCGATAATTACTGTCAGATTTATGGCCCTTGATCACTTCAAAAAATCTTGTGGACGCCCTAGAGGCCAAAGTTAATATCCAATTGACTTTAAATTTATACACAGTGTTTAAGGTCTAAGACGAAGAATCCTATTGATTTTCAGCGATTTCCGATAATTACTGCCAGAGTTATGGCCCTTGATCACTTTGAAAAATCTTGTGGACGCTCTAGAGGCCAAAGTTAATATCCGATTGATCTTAAAATTATACACAGTGTTTAGGATCATGAGACGAAGAATTCTATAATTACTGCCAAAGTTATGGCCCTTGATCACTTTGCAAAATCTTGTGACGCTCTAAAGGCTAAAGTTATCATCCGATTGACTTCAGATTGATACACAGAGTTTAAGATTTTGAGAGGAACGAGTATATTGATTTTCAATGAATTTTTATGACTTGGAACAGCTAAATCCATGATATTAAAAGTTTTGTATACAAAACGTTAGCATGGGGTAGAAGTTTATAAAAACCAAACAAATTCTAATGGTTTTCTCAGTTGTTGCCCTTAATCAGATTTTAGTGTATTATAATTGTTTCATTACCAAAAAAAGTAAAAATATGCGACAACTCTTGTTGACTGCCCGAACGATTTAGCTGCTGTGGGCGTATGTTTCATTGCCTGGCAACCTATCTTTAAATTAAATCATTAAATGGCGATCGAATTTCAGTCTGTGTATATCTCCACTGTCCCATGATCTAGAGAGTTGATTATAGTCTTGTCATGAGAGAGAGAGAGAGAGAGTTTAATGTCCACTCGACTCAAACTAGGTCATCTCGGGACTAACATATGGTTTAATTTTATTTCAATAATTCGCTTGCGCATAGGGGTCTTTAGCAGTGGGAGGAAACTGGACCACCTGGAGAAAACCTATGAGGTTGCACAGGCGACCCTACTCCTTGTCACGTACAACCGTTGAATCGAAACCACGCCTGTTGACTCAATGACAGACTTTATGATACAGCGCACGCACGCTAACCATTCAGCCATCCAACCCCCCTTATAACATTTGAAGCCATAATAAAAAAAACCTGCAATAGTCAGATTTAGTTCTTACATAATGCATATTTATGTTTTATTATAGACTTTTATAATTTGTAACTCTTAAGACTTTATGGTTATTTCTAAATGTTAATGTTATCTATAATGTATGTCTATTCCATTCTTTTCTACATTCTAAAATTTGACTAAATGACAAAGATTTAATACTTAGAAGAAGTAAAAGTAGGGCAACACAGCCTTAATAGAGAGAGGAAAATAGGGTTTAACGACCACTCAACACAAATTAGTATATTTTGGGACTAACAGTAACATGGTTCAATTTTATTTCAATAATTCGCTTGCATGTAGGGGTCTTTAGCAGTGGGATAAAATCGTGGGTGGACCCAGAGAAAACCTACGAGGTTGGACATGCAACCCTGCTTGGAATCAAAACCACACAACTTGACTCAATGACAGACGTTAAGAATTGACACTGTATATACACATATCTTATAAATATAAATCAAAACATTTTGTATTTGTATATATATTGGTATATATTGGGAAAGCTTTTCAATGCAAGTAAGTAGAAAACTGCCATATTTATAAGAGCATTAAATCTCATCTGTGGAAAGGGTGTCATATATTATTTAGTCATTTTATCTGCTTTTACACTGAATATATGTAATCTAATTTAATATCTTGTTTTAATGACCTGTAATAATTGAACTGGATATACAGGACACAATTCTATGGAATACAATTGCTGTTGATTACTGAGCCATGACCATTTATTAACAATGACATTTGAACCTGGGTTTCTCTTGTCTGTTAACATTTATTAACGATGACATTTGGACCTGGTTTCTTCTGTTGTTATCATTTATTAACGATTACATTTGAATCTGGGTTTCTCTTGTCTGTTAACATTTATTAACAATGACATTTGGACCTGGTTTCTTCTGTCGGTTATCATTTATTAACAATGACATTTGGACCTGGTTTCGTCTGTCGGTTATCATTTATTAACAATGACAATTGGAATGGGTTTCTCTAGTCTTCATCCAACAATGCTAGTCGAAATATAGAATTGTGTCCTATGTAATATAAACATACATTATGCAAGAGCTAAATCTGGCTTTTGCAGGTCTTTCTTAAGGCCTGAAATGTTTTCTAAAATGTTATACAAACTATTAATTAGACATTTATTAACTTGAAAAGACCTTAATCAACTCTCGATGCCATCTTATGTGTCGGATTGTCACAGGATTTGAATCCGATCCGCTGCTCAATGCCCATTGATGATTAAATCAAAAAATGGATAATCAAGACTATGTTTTTTATCGTACCGACTTTAGTAATGATGACCGAGTCTAGGTTGAAAAACCAATCACTAATGTCTCGGTTTAGAGTGAAGCAATTTGACTGAAATTTTCAGCATAATTCCTTTACATTATCTAAGTTTTAACTATTATAGTGAGAACTGCCAGCTCTTATCTAAATCTTACATAATGTATCTTTAATACAAGTACAATATAATTGTATTGTTTTATAAATCCCTTTCATGAAATCACTCAAAATATATCATTCCCCATTCATCTTTTTCATGCTAACTGAATTTCGTAGACCAATGACAATTTGTTCAATAAGTTTTATAAAGATGAGAATGGCGTAGATGTTAAGATAGGTCTGTCAGTAGAACTGTAAAATTAAAGGACAATATTGGTGTCATTCATTATCACATATGTGATAGAACTGGTTAAACACGTTCCAATTATAATTTTAACACAGAGATCATTTCTACGATAGATGCTAGATGCGTTATGAAGCTTTTAAAAAAGGGAAGTGACAAATGCAAAAGGAAAACATGAGTTATCCTTCTATATAAGTTATATAACTGACTTCCCTTTCTTGAAAGCTTCACAACGCATCGATAATAGCAACAATCTTTGTGTTAAAATTATATTTGGAACGTGCTTAACCAGTTCTATCACATATGTGATAATGAATGACACCAATATTGTCCTTTAAGAATGATGTAGATGTATAGACAGGTTTATCAATAGAACCAGTAATATGTATATATGTGTATATGATGGAGTATATCATGTGTTGTTTTTGTAAATAAACCAATTATTACAATATAGGCCTACTGGTACTAATTTTTATTGTTTACTGAAATAAAATGAAATGGGGTTTAACGTCCTTCTGTTCTACTCCTTAAGGGCTAATAAGGACCGACATACACCATTATGTTTGCTATGAGGGAAATTTTTCCCAGCCAGCGGTGCTACAACCCACTCTTATTTCCTATTCCATCTTCAATGGTTGTTTTACGTGCATATCTATGTGTAGACGGCTGTTTCAAGTGGCTGTTAAACCACATTTCTCTCCATCTCTTTAACACAGAATTAGCAACATCATGAACCACGATAATCCACTTTAAAAACAATAAAAGTGTCAAGTGGAAATTAAACCCCCAGTAGCATCATCATAAACCACTTTAAAACAATACAATAATCTATGGTGGTTAACATAATGTTAAATCAATGTCCTTGGTATAATGTAATTATCTGATCGCAGTCTGTTACATCTATTGTTAAAACAGCAAACAGCCCAACAGCTGGTGTTAACTTTAATGGGCATTTAGGTTCACCATCCTATTTCTAATAGTACAACTGTTCTTGCCATATTGTGGATCCGAAAATGAAATGTAATGGAGTTTAACGTCCTACTGGGCTAATGAAGATGGGCATATGCCATGTAGTGTGCTCTGAGGGAAATTCTGCCTTGGCAGAGGCGCTACAGCCTACTCTTATTTCGAATTACAACTGTCAAGGTTTCTTTTACTTGCACGCTAATGTGTACACGGGACCTTGGTTTTTCATCCCATCCGACGACTATGCGTTGCCCTTGCCAGGCCTTCTGTCCTACAACACGGACAAGGTGGAAAAATGCGGAAAATCCCGATGAACTTTCTCGGCCAAAGCAGGGACGTCCAAGTTAGCAAAGCCAACATCCTACCCACTTGGTATCCGTCGAATGGTCAACATGTGCCTGATGTATCAGAAGGTCTGTCATTGAGTCAAGTGGCGTGGTTTCGATTCCCCACTTGTATGGGTCACCTGTTACCTGTCCTCCAGTTCACTCTTACTGCTAAAGACCCCTACGTGCAAGCGAATTATTGAAAAAAAATTGAACCATGTGTTAGTCCTGAAATGACCTAATTTGTGCTGAGTAGACGTTAAACCCCATTTTTCTCTCTCTTATTAAATATCCATCAGTTGATGACATTTTGTGCTCTTTTTTTTTTACCAGGTATATTTCTTATGTCTTCGTTGTCCTTTTGGTTCAATTAATTTTGTGATGCAATATTGCTCTTGTTGACCAACTGAATTATATTTAAATACAGGAGATGTTATAAGTTGATATTTAAATGCAGGAGGTGTTATAAGTTGATATTTAAATACAGGAGGTGTTATAAGTTTATATTTAAATACAGGAGGTGTTATTATAAGTATTTTAATCACAATATAACAATCATTACATCATTATTACATGTTTCAATAAACAATAAACAAGTGGATAGGTATTGATGTAGGTATTCTCATATTCATAGATAGGGGTCTGACATATACAGGAGGTATTTTTCATGTTCTCTGATCTCCCAATCATAGATAGGGTTCTGACATATGAAGAGTCCAGGGGAAGAACGATCTAAGTCACATTTTTGTCTTTTCGCATAAAAAGGCAAAACAGACTTTTGGACAGAATGCTTGACGCGAACAGAACAATGAGTGGGTTTAATTACAACTTCAAAATGATGTTTAATACGAATCATAATTACCAGTACAACAACTGACTTCCACTTTTCAGCCAAATTAAGGTCAATTTGTCCGGGAGGCCATTTCAGACGGGCCTTGGTTCGATGTGACTCTGATTGTTTTTACCGAAATTAATTGTTTTACAGAAAGCTTATACAATTTGCTACCAGATGGCGCCATTAACTGGGGTTCATTGAAAAGGTGACATAGATCGTTCTTCCCCGGGGCTCTTCATATACAGTAGGTATTGTGCCTGTTCTCTGATCTCCCAATCATAGATAGGGGTCTGACACCTGTTCTCTGATCTTCTATTCATTGACATAAGTATTTTGTCTGTTCCTTGATCTCCCATTCAGCAATAATAGATAATAAAACATATCTTACAACAACAAAAAAAATATACAAAATTATGCCATAAATCCATTTTATATTTATATACATGTATTAATGTTGTCTTCTTTAACACAGTAGGTGCAAAACAGTAGGTCGTTCAACCCCATTTCACATGTATTAATAAATTTTCTCAGTTGAAATTCAAAGAAATGATGGAGATATGTCTAATAAGGCAAAATGCGACATGACTAATATACTGTTTGTTATTTTTATTTACAATTAGAACATAAAGTTTGGTGGAGAGTCATGCAAAAACGGCCGCAGTCCCGAATACTGTTTGAAATACAACGGTCAACGGATCTTTTAGTACATTGGGCACTGTTTGAATGATATCCATCAGAAATGAAAATTTTACAACCTCCTTGTGTATAACATTACGGCCCATTGGCATCCAACCCCCACCCACCCCAATCACCAGCAAAAATAATTTGCAAAAATATGTACCTCAGTTTAACAAATTCTCAGGGAGGAGGGGGAGATGCTTCACATTGAATCAGAAAAAAATCTGTTAAAACTGTAGCTTATCGTGTTCACAAGGTTTTCTATAGAGCTGCCAAAATAGTATCATACATTTACAATTATATTGTAACAACATAAAATATATGTAAACACAAAAACAAAGGACATTAAACTTTTCAAACTATTTACACTTTTATAACAATATCGTTCACTTACACAAGTCATCATTACTCTAAACAGATTATCAATATGGACAGAAGGCTGTTAGTAAATTATACAATAGTCATCATTTAACAGGTGTGAACTAGCTATAAAAGGTGCCACTTCTGGTGTAAAAATATGACTAATTCTAATATCCATCACTATCGAATACACAAACATAACCAATATTTGTGTATATCATTTATTAGGTAAAGAAAGTTGTTTGAAATTTTATAGAGTAGTCATTAATTAACAGGTGTGTATAACTAGTTGTAAAAGTGTGAAGGTGGGATATATTAATTCTAATACCCATTACTATTAAATACACAAACCTAACCAATAGTTGTGTATATCATTAATTAGTGGCTTAACACCTTAGTCACACCTTAGTACCAATAGTAGTGTACAGGTAATATCATTAATTAGTGGCTTAACACCTTAGTAACAATAGTAGTGTACAGGTAATATCATTAAATAGTAAACTATTAACATACTTATGGAAAACAGCTACTGATTTATTTAGGCAACATTTCGATCAGCATTCTCTCAACATATTCTAGTTTTCAAGCTTGAAAACGTTGAGAGAATACTCTTCGAAACGTCGCCTAAATAAATCAGTAGCTGTTTTCCATAAGTATGTTTATAGTTTATTTATCTGCCCAGTTACTAAATGCCACTTAAAGAATATTATCGTTAATTAGTGTTGGACTTAACACCTTAGTAACATAACACCTACTTGATGACTACCGTTTGATTATTAACCACTTTAAACTGACTATAAACATTACACATATAAAATGATCTGTTAATGACAGAAAGTGAACGATATCAACTTCACAATGTTACATATTCAATTTAATGAAAAAACAATGACTGAACAAATATTATTTTTAAAGAATTCACAACTTTCTAATGCCAAATTGTGCGTTTATTCAAACATCAATGACATTCTGGTACGGAAAATGATAATTCATTCATTCAAAGAAAGAGACCATGGCCAGTTTCCAAACCTAAGCTTATTCATTATTTACAGTGAAGCATATAATTAATAAGATAAGCTTTCTGCTATTCCTTATTTTATATCCAGAGTTTTATCTTATTTCACGTAAAATCGTAGTTAGCTTCTAAATCAGTATCTTTAAATCGATAAAATAATATCATGGGTGTTTCCTGAAAAACAAAAAATCTTAAAATAACATTTAAAACATAGCTACATCTCATATAAAATTTCTGTCCATTACTACTAGCAGGATACCCGACTTAGCCTGGGGCCCAAATTCATCAGAGGCCCAATTCGTCTGGGGTCCAAATTCGCACGGGGCCCAAAATTAGCCAGGGGCCCAATTTGCCCTAGGTCCAAATTCAGACGGGATGAAAATTTGCACCAGACTCAATTTGGTTAATTTGATACCACATATGTGGAGGTGGAGCGCGGAACCAGAGCTCCAACAGTCACATGTCAGGCTTGTTAATTTGATACTACACATGTGGGGGTGGAACACGGCAATGAACATACACACATCTTTGATTTTATTTATATAGATTGTGGTCTAAATAAGGTTTAATTTTAGAAAAATTAAAAGTATGATTATAAAAACTGGTCGAGCACAAGGCGTGATTGTTGTGTGTGAAGGAATTATTTAAGAAATATTAATGTTAACTTACTCTAGTGTACCAGTTCATAAGATAAATCTGTTTTAATGACATCTCGTCCTGCATTTCTTCACTACCACATAATACCTCTAACTACAGATAGAAATATAACACACAATGATATCACCATATAAAACCTCTAACTACAGATAGAAACATAACAAACAATGATATCAAAGTTTGATCTAGGAATTTGAGATTTGAGGGCTCCAGAGAAGAGACAACCTCAAGTTTGACGTGAATTACAGGGTGGGGTACCAACCAATAACTTTAATAAAATCAGAGGCTTTCGGACAATATTTCTGTTCATTTAGACAAGAGCCGATGCTTCCCATATTTGTATGACGCTATCATGATGAAAGCAGGTGACACACAATAGGGAGTTGCAGTTTAATTGTAAACTGTTTTAGTATTTAAATACAAAGAGAGAGAGAGAGAGAGAGAGAGAGAGAGAGCCTTTAACATCCACTCCACACAAACTAGGTCATTGCTGGACTAACATACCGTTCAATTTTATTTCAATAATTCACTTGCTCGTAGGGGTGTTTAACAGTGGGAGGTAACCGGAGGACACCACAAGGTTGGCCAGGCGACCAAACTCCTTGTCACATACAACCAGGTAATCAAAACCATGCCAGTTGACTCAATGACAGATTTATGATACAGCGCACACATGCTAACCATTCGGCCATCCAACCCCCCAATTAAATACAACTACTTTTTATTACTGAATGATATTTCAAAGGCATTTTCTAGACTTTATTAAAAGAGAGAGAGAGAGAGAGAGATGGGGATTAACATCCACTCGACACAAACTAGGTCATTTCGGGGCTAACATATGGTTCAATTTTATTTCAATAATTTGCCTGCGCGTAGGGGTCTTTAGCAGTGGGAGGAAACCGGAGACTTTATAAAGCAATGATTGTATGATTGTGTCTTGTGTATGTTTTAACAATAATAGATTGATGATTTGATTTTAAGTTTTACCTTTATATCTTTAGAAAGTGGTAGTTTTTTATACAACATGGATTTTATATGAGATATTAACACACGGATTGAACAACGAACAAATTTCTTCTCTAATGGCTGCAGCTGAATCCAACGGCCATTAAAATGTGTTTTCTGAGGACTGAAAAAAAAAAAATCAACATTTATCAGTATTTAAATTCATTTAGTAAAACAGATATAATACTTGGACTGAAGTATCTATCAATATACCAGTCTTTTTTATTAGATGATGAAAGATAACTGCACAACAAAACACAGACTTAACAAACAATATAGGAACACAAAATAGACAGAACAATTAAATAAATATTCACATAAAATTAAAGATTAATCAAACAAATATGTTTAAGAAATACATCTGTCAACCAGGGTGGCACTCTGTGATGGCACTATAGACAAATAATGAATATCAGTGTTAATTATTAGATGATGAAGGATAACTGCACCCAAAATTACAAACTTAACAGACAGTACAGGAACACAGATACGATGTATATATAAGCATTCACAGATAAAACAAACAAATGTTTTAGAAATACATCTGTCAGCTAGGATAGCACTCTGTGACAACCAGCTGCATAGTACCATAAAGAAAGAATGAATATAGTTCAAGTTCCCTTTTCAAATCAAAAATATTTAAAGAATGCAGTGTTTCCATTGGTTGAGGGTCAAAATAAACTACACATATTAGCTCTTAGCCAATGAATAGGCTGCATTCTTCAAATATCTTAGCTCAAGTTTCCATGAATAAAGCCCCAGAGAAACAATACCATTATTTAAATTAAATGCTTTGTAGAAGAGTTAACATAATAAATAACAAATTCCTGAATCAACATTTTTGTAACCTTTGGGAGAGAGAGAGAGAGAGAGAGAGATGAAAATCAGACTCCATAATTTATGAAAAGAGAAATGATATAAATAAATTACCTGTATCTTTCAAGACATAAACAGATCTGTTCATCATATTTATACATATGACCTTGTGGGTTGTTTATAATACTTGATAATCTTGGTGCCAATCCAACTTGTTCTGCTCCTGAAATAGTTCCAGTTTTAGGAATTTAAAAGAATATTCTACTTTCTGATGTATTGGATTCCTAATGACCTGATAACCTAGTAAGAGTAATACAGGAGGACTGCACTACACACAAACAAAACTAACAAGACAAAGACAAAATACAAAGGCAGGAAACAAACAACAATTATCAAGTGAATGGATCCACTGCACTGCACAGTCCCGAACCTGTAATGACACAGACCTCACTCCACAAAATGAAAAACAAAATAACCTAAATGAAAAAACAAAAAAAAATGACCTAACTATCAGTGACTTAAAATTCTAAGAAGCCACTTGTGCCTCAGTAGGTATATGGCGCTGACTCAATAATCAGGATATCCCACAATCCATCCAGACGAAGGACGAGAAAGGTCCTCAGGATCTACGAGCCTGATCTCCCCCCCCCGCCCTTTGTCAGTGGTGCGGGACAGAGGGCCTGGCTAGTAAAAGCATATACTCATCGACGTGCACATAACAGATCCATTGAGCCTTGACAGATTGAATTCGATAAATAGGAAGCGGAAATTCCGCTGTTTGGGCAAAATGTCCAGTTTGTGCAGAAACGTCTGATGTTAATTTGTAAACCCCTATGCAATTCTAATCAGCCACTCAGCCAATAATTAATTTCAACCCCTTTTACGGCACATTAATAGTATACCTTGTTTTTCTTGGTTCGCATTCCTTGTTTTATTAAATTCTTCCCTCCTTTTTTCTTCATCTGAAAAATTCAAATACATCTGAATAGTTTCTTAAAGAGGTTTATGAACAGTCATTAAATTATTTTGTGTAAGTTCACAAGATTTATCTATGTAACTAGCGGATAAGCCGGCGCTACCCGGGTTGTGCCCGTAACTCCGAAACCGGAAGCCCAACGCCACCTAGCCTATGTTACTCCCCGGTCCAAGCTACCTATATACACCACATTTCAGCCTAGAGACAGCCCTAGTGTAGCCGCCAACCCTCAACGGAAACAAATATTAGTATAGATTAGATAAGGAATGATGATAACTTAACAGTCTTTTACTCATCCATGAATAATAAAAATATCTTATAAAGAGAGAGAGAAATGGGATTAAACATCCACTTGACACAAACTAGGTCATTTCGGGACTAACATATGGTTCAATTTCATTTCAATAATTCGCTTGTGCGTAGGGGGATCTTTAGCAATGGGAGGAAACCGGAGGAGCCAGAGAAAACCCACGAGGTTAGACAGGCGACCCTACTCCTTGTCACATACAAGCAGCGAATTGAAACCACACCAGTTGACTCAATAACAGACCTTATGTTACAACGCGCACGTGCTAACCATTCGGTCATCTCCCCCCCCCCCAAAAAAATATATATTAAATCACATCACGATTTATGTGAAATGTATGGTACATGCTCTGTATCTAAGAAATCGGACTGAACACTTGACACAAACAAGGTCATTTCAGAACTAACACATGGTACAATTTTATTTCAATAATTTGCTTATGTGTAGGAGTTTTTAGCAGTGGGAGGACTCAGTGAAAACCCACGAGGTTGAACAGGTGAACCTACTCCTTGTCCTGTACAAGCCTGGGATTGAAAAAATACAACTTGACTCAATGACACTATGAAGGCCTTTGCCACTCACTTTTATATACTGGTTTTCTGTTGTATGTTCTGGGCAGTTACGCTGCCCTGTCTATAGCGAGGTATAGTATATAGGAAAAAAAAGAAGAACCCATGAAGAAAAACCACTTGCTACTTACTTTCAAATAAATGAGGTACAAGTTTATATACGATATCTTGTAGTGTTCGATCAGGTCGGAGAAAAAACACTGGTTGAGATTCATGAACTTTGACGCTACACTGTGGACATTTCTTAGAACTTTGAAGATATTTAACAATACAGCTTTTACAAACTGAAATAAAGTAATTAAATCAAATTACAGTCTGAAATAATAACAATTAATATTCCACCTGAAATACATATAAAAACTGACATTAACTGTTAGTTTTGCCAGGATTTTTCTTATGGGTCCCGAGTTCAAAAAGCATTATCAGACTAAGTTAAGAATTTACTCAACTTTCAATCACTGTTTATGAGAAATATCTTTGATCCAGAAACACAAAACTTTGCACATAGTTTCTTATTGATGTATTTGATATATTACAATAAGAAAAGTTTTATAAAGGGTTAAATTAAGGTGAACAATTTTGAGTAAATTCTTAACTTAAACATACATTATGCCAGAGCTAAATCTGCCTATTTCAGGTCTTTCTTCAGGCCTGAAATGTTATCTAAATTATTAATTAGACATTAATTAACTTATCCAGACCATAATTAACTCTTGATGTCAATGTTAGCATGCGATATTTACTCGATTAGGATCCGATTTGCTGTTCAATTTTCATTCATGATTTAATCATGAAATGGATAATCGAGATTATGTGTTTTATCGTACTGACTTGCGGATAGTATCTAATTTTTCACTGCTTAATGTGTGCTAAAATTGATTATCTAACATTTAAATACGAAAACAAAAACATGAACAGTAGATAATCTCCTGGCTTGATTCAATAGCACTAAAAAGAGGCCCATCAAAAGATTATAGGTGTTCCTGGGTTTTTTATATTATCAACAAACAATGCAGAGTGTTGCAATATTTTCAGTTGATCATATCTTTGTAAGTACTGAATGAAACTGAAGCATTTTCGAACTGATACTCCTTTTAGAGATTCAATTTTCATAATATTATAAGTTACAAGGGATTCAAAATCTCTAATATGATAATTAATTTAAAACAATCCAAAGTTTCATTTGTTTCATAATTCTTACAGGAACCCAAATCTTTAGTAGATTAACAATATTCAACCATAGTACAGACATGAATTAGTTGGAAATTAATTTGAACCCTTTTTGCAAAATCCACTTCTGAAAATTAGAAAAATCCTTGTGACCAAAATAAAAGGCTATCAACGTATTAGGCCTATTCGGCACAAGTTTTCGCTGTACATGTATCTGATGAGACCTATTTATTGTCAACAATAATGTATGTTAAAAAATCTTACATGTATGCAGACATTCTGTGATTGTTGTAGCATCTATAAAATAACCAGCACATAGAGAACACACAATATGAGGATTTACATCTCTAATCCGTATCTTCAAAGGTTCCTGAAAGACACAAAAACAGAAAAATAGGATAAAATGATAGAAACAAATGAAATGTGGTTTAGTGTCCTTCTTTTCTGCTCTATCCTGGTCTACTCTTACGCATTGTCTTATCGGTTTTGTCTGACATTTTTTTTTTACATGCATGCCAATGTGTACACAGGACCTCAGTTTTTCTCTCCATCCAAGCGACTAGAGACTAGACGCTGTTCCTTGCCATGGCCTCCATCCCGAGCAACTTTCTCGGCCAACGCAGAGATCGAACCTGGAACCTCCAGGTTAACAAGCCAGTACCCTACTCACTGAGCCACCATGGCTCCCATAAAACAACGTACCCTCAACACCTATAATAATTGAAGATCAAGGCAATTATTTACATGACAATAAATGCAATCAATAGATTTCTGGTCAACCCAACAAGACTACAGTTCAAAAAACAGGATCTAAATATTCTACTTTCAGTTTGTTTACCTCTTCTTCTTCGGGAATAGCCAGTCTTATTGGAGTAAAGGCTTCTCTCGCCTTCTTCATTGCCGGTGTATTCATTTCTCAATCAATAATTTAGACCTCTAGATATGAAAAAACACCTTTTAGTCCAAGATAATGTTTATAAATTCATTTTATCTCATTTATTGTATTCCGTCGTAAACATCTTTTTTTCCCCGGAAGTTTATCCAAGCGCCACCGGAACGACAAATTAGTTATCCCCCCATTTGCAGATCACATGACAATAAAGTAAAAGTAGACACTGATAGAAAGTAAACAAGGATGTGATTATGAAGTTAATCGTTAATAATGAAGTGTTTATTAGTTGTAAATCGAATGAACGATGTTCGGTTCCTTGATTTTGATGACGATTTTGCTGAATACATAAATAATCAAGCAATTGAAATAGGTTTATTACAGGTAAAGGAATAAAGAAAAGCCTGGAGATAATGATTATGAAGCCATTATATATGTTAATGGCATTAACATTAATATTAATATAATAAAATTATAATAAACAAATCAATCAAATGGTGCCTACATGCTATTTGCTTCTCTAGCAATGCCCCTTGCATGATCATTCATAATTTAGTAACACTAAAATAGTACGTGAACCTAGAAATACACATTTCAAATTTACTATAAAATACAATCGAGATAGATTTATTTCCTTTGTGAGAGATAAAGTTTGGCATTCTTGCAGTTCCATCCAACCAGATTGTTTTTATATATAGTCCCAAGTTGCCTCATCTCTCCTCCATGTCTTGAAATGAAGTAGGGTTTAACGTCCTACTGTTCTGCTCCGACTAAGCTAATGAAGACGGGCATACACATACAGTGTGGTATGGGGGAAAATTTGCTCGGACAGTGGCACTGCAGCCTACCCTTTTATCGAATTCAAACTGCAAAGGGATCTTTAATGTGCACACCAATGTGTACACTGGACCTTGGTTTTTTGTCCTATCCGAACCACTATACGTTGTCCTTTCCCAGGCCTTCATTCCTGCACCACTGACAAGGAGGAACCATACCGGAAAATCCTGATGAACTTTCTTGGCCAACGCAGGGATCGAATACGGGACCTTCAGGTTAGCGAGCCAACATCTTACCCACTGAGATACCATGGCTCCCTCTGTGTCTCAAATACATCAGACCATTAGACACATCTCAACGTTTGCAGTGATGTTCCTGTAGCTATAATGATCCTAGGTGCTTACATGTTTTGTCCTATGCATCCATGTTTGCAGTAATATAAGATAATAAAATGAAAGTATCTTTTTGTTTTTCATAGGCAGAAGAATGTGGGCTAGATGCGTATTATGTGGATCCAAATATTATCATGCAGATATTCTCTCCTTTAGTTTTATCACAGTGGTTCCTTATAGAACAAACTAAAAATCCCTGTTCTTCGGTCACCTGTGAAAATGGCTTCCTATTTGTCTTTAAGCATGTAAGTGAATATTTTTGAATTGAATATTTAATCCGTCTTTTCAAGACACTAAATCTCATTGATTCAGGTCAAAACAAAATATTGAATTGGGCTCATTTGATGTGTTATAATGATTAATTTTTCCAAAAGATTAAGTAGAAGCCATCTTGTTTACTAATTGTAGTTTCAATTTTGGATGAGAGAGAGAGAGGCAGAGAGAGGCAGGTGGGGGGGGGGGTGCATGCAGGAAGGCATGTACCACATGTACTACTGAGAAACCTTATGATTTATAGAATCTAAATAATACATGACAGTCATAATCATATGGATTAGGCCTACTAATTCTAGGAATTTATCAGTGAGGGTTCACTCATCTGAATCAAGCAAATAATCTAAATTAAATTAATCATAATTTTTTTTTTCCAATGTACAAATATTACAGATGGATGATCTATTGTTGATTGCTATAAATGGAGATGGGACTGAAACAGAAGAATTTCTTTTAAAAAAGATTCAGATGTTTTTACGTCTGATTGGGTTTTTATTTGGTCCAGCAACAGATGAGTAAGTTTAGATATTTCTCTGTAGGGAGCCACAGTGACTCTCTGCGTATCATGCTGACACACATTCTTGGTATCCCCAGTGGTTTCGTTCCGTTCTACTCCACTAACCTCTGGGTTCATCCATGGGGTTTTTTGCTTGATTGTAGCTTGATTCTAAGAAGTATCAAAAAACAGTTTACATCACAATAATCTTAGTTGCAATAAAATGCTAGTTACTTTCCTTTGCCCACTCAATTGGTGGATAAAAATAGTAGTAGTATCAAGGTTTAAATATTAAGGCCACCTGCAGATTTCGGCAAGGTCGCGAGATGTAAATAGGGTTAGGGCACATGATTGTTGACAAGATTGTTTGTTAGGTCTATGGTTAGGGTTAGGATTAGCCGTAGCCCTCTTTACATCTCGTGACCATGACGAAATCTGCAGGTGGCCTTAATATTTAGACCTAACCTTGATGCAGGATGGAAGATGTGGCAAGGAATAGGCTTCTCTTCATTGGAGGAAACCCATAGTAAGAATTTGAATACTGCTGTCCAGACAAAATCTTCATTAGCCTGTTTTGTGAAGAAAAGTAGGATGTTAAATTCCATTTCTATTTTCTGTACTTCCCTTGCAGATGTAGTGTCCTTGATCAATGTTCAGGCCACATAAAAATTTTGCTTTTTATAGATATACTGTGCATTATTCAATATATCGATATACTGTGCATTATTCAATATATTGATATACTGTGCATTATTCAATGATTTATTTTAGAATAGGGCGATATGAAGATAAGAGAGAAAGATGGAATTTTTTACGACGTTTATTAGAGACATGGATGAAGTTATGTTGTGATGAACAAGCTTTTCTTGTTGAGGTATTTACATATCTAATTACACAGTATATAATACACAAGACTGATCTAGGAGTACCCAGTGAACACCCCAGCTTCCAAAAACTTTTAGACAGATCATAAGAAGTGTTGATGATCTCAATTTTTAGTTCAAAATTCACAGATTTCACAAAAAATTCATTCGCCCGAATATTCGCCTTGCTATCAAATTTCTTCGCCAATGGAAAGAATTGTCGCCATTGGTGAATTGGTCAATGTCTTGGGTTATCACTAAACACTGTGGAATTTACAATTATTTCCGGTACATTGAAATTAAAGATACATTATGGGAGATTAGATAAAGAGCCGGCAGTTCTCACTATGTTAGTTAAAAACTAGATAATGTAAAGGGAATTTGCTGAAAATTTCAGTCAAATTGATCCACCCTGAACTGTGTATTTAGCAACTGAATTTTGAGCCCAGCCTCGATCATCATTTCTAAAGTCGGTACGATAAAAAACAGTCCTGATTATCCATTTTTTGATTAATCAGAAGCTTCAGACAGAGTTCTAATCCAGTAAATATCGCAGGCTAGCAATGCCATCGAGAGTTGATTATGGTCTGGATAAGTTAATTAATGTCTAATTAATAATTTATATAACATTTCAGGCCTAAAGAAAGACCTTCCATAGGCAGATTTAGCTCTTCCATAATGTATGTTTAAGTGATTGGTTAAGATTTCCGAACGTTTTTTTAACCACTAGCAGTGCATCGATAGCATCATACGTAATGATAACTGAACAAGTTTAAAAACGAAGTTAGATATTTTATTTAGTTTGTAAAAATAGAATAGATTTAAAATATTGGGATGAAAGCGGCACAACAGAATACAAACATGACAAATGATACAGGAATTTGACACATACATTCAATATTTATTAATATTGAATTGTTTTTATTGCATTTGAGGAGCCATGGTGGCTAAGTGGGCCTGGAGGTTGCGGGGTTGCTCCCGGTGTTGGCCAAGAAAGTCCATAGGGATTCTCCTGCGTGGTTTCCCCTTGTCAGTGGTGCAGGACAGGGGACCTGACATGGACAACTGTCTAGTCGTCAGATGACATGACAAAACGAGGTCCTGTGTACACATTGGCGTGCACATAAAAGATCCTTTGGCAATTGGAATTCGATATCCGAGTAGGCAAGATTTAACTCATAGCATACTGTATGGTGTATACCCGTTTCATTATCCCAGTCGGAGCAAAAAAGTTGGACGTTAAACTCCATTTTATTTCATTTAAAATGGAGACAAATGAAAAGATATGTAACTATATTTCAATGAGCATTGTATAGAATTATTTTTATTTTAGGCAGTTGAAAGATTACATGTAAATCAGACTTTAAATGAGAAATGTATAGAATTATTAGAAGAAGGTGTAAAGAAGATACAGAGTGTACCAGCTCATCATGCCTTATTACTGGTTAATAATAAACTACTAGCTCTCTATTCAAAGTAAGCAAATATCACAATTATATTTTAGTATTTGTTCTGCCATGGTTTCACCTTGTCAGTGGTGCAGGACGGAGGGCCTGACAAGGACAGCTGTCTAGTCGTTGGGATGGTACGTAAAACCATGCACATTGTCGTGCACGTAAAAGATCCCTTGGCAGTTTGGAATTCAGTATAAGAGTAAGCCTTAGCGCTGATGTCCGGGCAAAATTTCCCTCATAGCACAATGTGTGGCATATGCCTGTCTTCATTCGCCCAGTAGGACGTACTAGTAACCATTCCAGGCCACGATAGAATTAAAGAAATAGCACTGTACACACAGTAAAGTTAATTTCAGTCATGGGAAAAGGGTCAAACTTTATGCTAACACATGCACAGAATAGCATTTACACTACGAATATTGAACTGCGTCGTACTGAGAACGGCACTGAGACCACCTCACTTCAATGGTCCAGAATGGCCTGTTATGCTTGAAATTTGTAATATAAACTGGATTATGGACAAACAAGGGAACTTCAGTGTTTTTAAGGGATTCACCTTTTAAGGGTTTTATTTTATGGAATTATATTTGACCAGTAAATGGCACCAATATCTAGCAACGTCTGATTGTATTTAATGTTATCTAAATGTTCGATAATAGATTTTGAATATCATAAAAGTAAAACCTAAGATGTATTTTATTAAGATAATCCTTTGTTTTCAAGCCTGGAAATAAGGCACCTGTCACAGACAATGTCAGGCACAGATTTAGGCCCTGTCAGGCACAAAACCTCTGGTGTCTGTCATTTTGTCTGGCACCGATCCTTCCTTTTTGTTGATATTATAAATACATGTCCGGCACAGAGTTGAAAATGTCAGGTACTATTTCATTAGTGCCTGACATTTTGTCAGGTACACATGTATATCTAAAACCGTTATTTCCAGACCTGTTTTTTTTGTTTCAGTTGGAATGCGAATGAACTACAGCCAGCTGATATATTGTGCATTCTTCTATTAGCAAAAGATGTCTTCCCTTCCAAAGAGAAACTGGAAGACCTGTTCTCACGTTCCTATTGCATGGCTTCTCATGAGACTGGACGTACTAGTCAATTTGTTCCTTCCACTGCCAGAATATCCAGCTACCTTGGTGATGATAGTGATGCAGATGATGATTTGGTGAGGATGAAATATATTAAGAAAATCAAACCGGTCTTCGAGATATTTCATGAAATTAAAATTTATGAAGTAATTTACTAGTATCTATTTTTTCCAAGACGCAAGATAACACAATTATTTTTAGTTAGGTTAAGTTTTCATCAAATCTCAGGGCTCAAACAATCAGATTAAAATAAAGATCTATATTTCGTTTCATTTTTTTATACTTTCGATTGCCTACACTACATGAAGACCTGACCGATTGTACCGATAGGTCGCTTCAGAGGTCATACGAGCTGCTTTTGACCCTATGACATCAGACATCTGATTAACCAATCAGCATTGATGTTACTGATTACCCACAGTTCCGTGCAAATCACACCAAATACAGACCGTTTCATTGGCTAATCCCTCACACTTTTCAGAACACGTCAATTATAACAACTCTTCGAGATCCTTGTGTAGTAAAGTCAAGTAAAACAAAATTTTGAACTATAAAAATGGAATGAAATAGGATCTGTGTTTTAATCAGATTGAGGTTCAAAAGTAATGTATGCAATTCGTAAAAGCAAGCCGAAATTTTCTTGAATTGCATAATGTCACTCACGTAGGTTTTTTACTATTTTGGATAGGGTGTCAACATTGGCCTAACCTATTCCCCAGTCCATTTTCAAATGAAATGAAATATTGTTTATAACACAATGGCCATAACTTCGCTCAGAATAGATAGAGTAATATGGCAGTCATTGTTTTTTATACATTGAAATGTGGTCGTATATTGTTGTCGCCCCCGTCCGCCCATCCATCCATCGTCGTCCACAATTGCTTGTGGATGCTCTAGAGGCTCAAGTTAATATCCGATTGACTTTAAATTTAAACACAGTTTTTAAGGTCGTGAGTTGAAGAATCCCAGTGATTTTCAATGATTTCCGATTGTTACTACCAGAGTTATGGCCCATGATCACTTTGATAAATCTTGTGAATGCTCCAGAGACCAAAGTTATCATCTGATTGACTTTAGATTGATACACAGAGTTTAAGGTCTTGAGATGAACAAGTATATTGATTTTTAATGAATTTTGATAACTTGAACATCTAATTCCATGATATTAAATGTTTCGTATGCTAAACATTAACATGGGCCAGAACTAAAAGCCAAACAAATTCTAATGATTCTCTGATAATTACTTAATGAGTTGTTACTTTTAATCAGATTTTAGTGTATTATAGATGTTTCATTACCGACAATAGAAAAAATATGCGACAAATTTTGTTGACTGCTCGGACGACTTAGCTGCTGTGGGCATATGTTTCGTTGCCTAGCAACCTATCTTTAATCGAGCACCTGCCACTCTCCTGAATGTCAACGGAGGGGAGGATTTTTGCCCTCCCCTTAAAATTGAAAATCGCATGTAATGACCCCATTACATGCAGTTATTAATAATCAGAACCATTTCCCATACACATAACTAATCACTCTCCTTAATATCAGATCATTCTCCTTAATTTCTAATTCACTCTTCTTATCGAACCTGGGAGAACTTTTTTAGGGGAGCGATTTTTTCAATTTGTTGATTTATGGGAGCTTTTTTTGGCTCTCCTCAGAAATACAAACAACGATGACTGATATGGATAAAATTTTCGATATGTATCTTTAATATTGTAGTATCTCAGTGCTCAAACTACACCTCGAACAACACCTACCCCAGATAATAGTTCAAGATCTTCAGAAAAAGACAGTGGGAGTTTAGGAAATGATGACGATGAGCTAACACCAGAGGGAGCAGGTAATTAAAATATCAAAGTAAATTTTATTAAAACCCAAGGATATTCATTATTTACTGAAAGAGACGAGAGAGAGAGAGAGTAAATTTAATTATAACAAATTGTTTCAATGGCATTTATTCATTGAAGTGGAATATACAGGACACAATTCTATAAAATACAGAGGGAGAGAGAGAGAAATGGGGTTTAACGTCCACTTGACACAAACTAGGTCATTTCGGGACTAACATATGATTTGATTTTATTTCAATAATTCGCTTGCGCGTAGGGGTCTTTTAGCAGTGGGAGGAAACCGGAGGACCCGGAGAAAACCCACGAGGTTGGACAGGCGACCCTACTCCTTGTCACGTACAACCGGGGATTCGAAACCACGCCAGTTGACTCAATGACAGGCCGTATGATACAGCACGCACGTGCTAACCATTCGGCCACCCCCACCCCCTATAAATACAATGACTGCAATTGCTTGATAATGACTAAAGAAGCCTAGTTGAAAGTCGTTCAGTAATGAACAGTAATTGTATTCCATAGAATTGTCACCTGTAAATTAATCATAACATAAGAATGTTTATCTTTTACTGAGAGAGAAAGTAAATTTAATTAAATCATGAGAATGTTTATTATTCACTAAGAGGAGATTTAATTAAATCATGAGAATGTTTGTTATTCACTAAGAGGAGATTTAATTAAATCATGAGAATGTTTATTATTCACTAAGAGGAGATTTAATTAAATCACGAGAATGTTTATTATTCACTAAGATGAGATTTAATTAAATCACGAGAATTTTCATTATTTACTCAGAGAAATCAAAATAAATTTGATTAAAACATTATCATGTTTATTATTTAGCAAGAAAGAAAAAAATAAATTTAATTACAACTCGAAAATGTTCATTATTTACTATGAGAAAATATATTTAATTAAAGTATGAGAACTTTTATTATTTATTGAGAGAGAAAAAGTAAATTTAATTAATTCATAAGAATGTTCATTATCAATCTGATTCAAATACAGATCTATATTTCGTTTCGTTTTTTTATACTTTTGATGGCCTCTACTACATAAAAATCTAACCAGTTGTAGTGGGGGGGTCGCGTCAGGGGTCATACGAGTCGTTTTTGACCCTATGATGTCAAACATTTGATTAACCAATAAGCGTTAATGTTTCTAGTAAGATACCCACAGTTCTGTGCATAGCACGCTAAGAACTCGCCATAACAGACCGTTTCATTGGCTAATCCATTATCCATCACATTAACCGGAATGCGGGTTATATAACAACTATATATAAACAAAATTTTGAACTATGAAAAACGAAACAAAATGAGATCTGTGTTTTAATCAGATTGGTTCATTAAAAAAGCTTAATGAGTTGAATTTTTCATCAGACTTGTTTTTTTATATTCTGGAGGATGAATGTTTGCTCCATATAAATGACAGATAATTTACAAAATTTAGATAACCAAGGATTGGAAATGACATTTAATTTGAAAATATTTTTTTCTCATTTTTTTTACAGTATTATTGGATATACCGAGTCCTTCCCCCTACCCAGAGGTTTCACCACATGTAGCTTGTGAAAGAGAAGTTTTCTTTACTCCTCACGATGATGTTAAACTAGATTCATTATATAAGACATATAGCACGGTAATATCTCTTACTTCTTTTTATAGGGGTTTGGATGGCTGAATGGTAAGCCCGCTGTATCATAAGGTCTGTCATTGAATCAACTTGCGTGGTTTTGATTCCCTGGTTGTATGTGACAAGGAGTAGGGATGCATGTCCAATTTCGTGGGTTTTCTCCAGTTACTCCGCTTTCTTCCCACTGCTAAAGACCCCTACAAGCAAATTATTGAAATAAAATTGAACCATATGTTAGTCCCGAAATGACCTAGTTTGTGTCGAGTGGATGTTAAACCCCATTTCTCTCTCTCTCTCTCTATTAATTTAATTTTTAATTTTCGCTATCCAATTATCTTTTATTCTAGCCTAGAGAAAGCAATAGTTTACCACCAGAAATGTTTCACGAGATACGTCCCCAGAGTTCCACAGTTGCTTCTTATGATGCTTCTGTTGTAAATACCCGACCACATAGACCCGAGCATGTCCCGGAATACTGGCGTCAGATGATATTTTTACAGACACGTGTTTGTGGATATTCCCCGCATCAACTACACTGTACACAAGTTTTACCTGGTATCGTTCTAATATTAGTTACAGAGGTACGTAATACACAGAATTCTCCTTTTCTGTCTGGGGGGTTGGGGGGCTGTTGTATGATAAGGTCTGTCATTGAGTCAACTGGTGTGGTTTCGATTCCCCGGTTGTATGTGACGAGAAGTAGGGGCGCCTGTCCAACCTCGTAGGTGTTCTCCAGGTTTCCTCCCACTACTAAAGACCCATACGTGCAAGCGAAATATTGAAATGAAATTAAACCATATGTTAGTCCCGAAATGAACTAGTTTGTGTCAAGTGGACATTAAACCCCATTTCTCTCCCTCCCCCTTTTCTGTCTGGGGTTTTTAGCCTGGTGTTGGCCAAGAAAGGTCCCCAGGATTTCAAGCAGCATGATCTCCCCTTGTCAGTCGTGCAGGATGGCGGGCTTGGCGAAGACAGTATCTAGTCCTTTGGGTGCAACAAAAAATGCAGGTCCTATGTGAACTATTGACAGTTGGAATTAATTGCTGTCCAGGCAAAATTCCCCTCATAGAACTCTGTAGGGCGGATGCCAATCTTCATTAAAATAAGATGTTAAGCCCCATTTCATTCAAACTCTAGGATACACGTAAAAGCTGATAAACTCCCTTAGCATCAGAGCTCTTTAAATCTTGAGAGCCCCAAAATATGTTGCTTATATGCATCAGATAGTGCTTGTTTTTATAAAATATCATGTAGCATGTCATTTATGTTGCGGGAACCAAGGGCGTCCCCCCGGTCCCCCCTAAATCCACGCCCATGACGGGAACCACGTTGGTTAAGTGGGTAAGACGCTGGCTCGTTATAGCCTGGAGGCCGCAGGTTCACTTCCGGTGTTGGCAGAGAAAGTTCATCAAGGTTATACAGCATGGTTTTCCCTTGTCAGTGATGCAGGACGGAGGGCCTGACAAAGACAGCTGTCTAGTTGTTCGGTGGGACGGAAAACCGAGATCCCATGTACAAACTGGAGTGCATGTAAAAGATCACTTGGCAGTTGGAATACAATATAAGAGTAGGCCGTAGCACTGCTGTTTGGGCAAAATTTCCCTCATAGCACACTGTATGGCATATGCCCGTCTTCGCTAGCCCAGTTTGGAGACGAACAGTAGGATGTTAAACCCCATTTCATTTCATTTCATTTTCATTCATGTTGCTTGTCTATAGGTTTATTAATTTTATTATTCTTGTTACACAGTCCATCACGTATGTATTAAATTATAATTGTTATTTATTACAGGGTTCTAAAGGTAATGTTGCAGGTCATCTATGTCAGGTGTTTATTATTATAAAAGATTTATTGGCAGGTAAACGAGATAAATTAAATCGTGTACAGGGACAGAATCTATATGATGTCATGAATTCTTTATTATCAAAAATACAAGGCCTTCTTAAGAAGGTCAAGGTAAGTGAACAGACTTCTTCAATCTTGACAAAGTAAAAGGGGATTAACATCCAGTCGACACAATTTTGGGAATAAAATCTGGTACAATTTTTTATTTCAATAATTTGCTTGCGTGTATGGGTCTTTAGCAGTGGGAGGAAACCGAAGGTCTCAGTGAAAACCCATATCGAGATTGGGCAGGCGACCGTATTCCTTGTCATGTACAAGCTTGGGATAGAAACCATGACACTTGACTCATTAACAGACCTTATAATCTAAAGTGCATGTGTTAGCCCTCTCGATCACCCAACCTTGCCCCAAAGCTACAGTCCAGCTCATGAAGGGAAGTTGGCCTGAGTCGTCCAACACGTATGCTGTAGATCATAAGGAACCTTATTCATGAAAATGTAAACTAAAATTTTTTAAGGATGGAGCCTTTCCATTGGTTGAGTGTTGGAATCCTAGTACAAAATTTACCTTTTAACCAATGGAAAGGCTGTATTCTATGCAAGTCATTAGTTCAACTTCAAGTTTGTATTTTGTAAGTGCCAAGGAGCAGGATTAATTCTTAACCTTATGGATTTTGATTATTGAAATAAAAAATATACTGTGTGTTAGTCCCGAAATAACTTGTTTTTTGTTGAATGGATGTTAAACCCATTTCTCTTTCTCAGACTGAGAATTTCAGCCCATGAACTTGAAATGTAGGAGAGTGGGCATCTCCACCAATTATCACTGCTGAAACATGTTAAGCCAGAGTTGATGAAAACTATTTACTCCAGAGCCAATGAAAACAGCTACGTAGCACAGCATTTAAAATGAACAGAATGGTGTGATTGACTTGCAAAAATTCAGATAAATGAATAAATTCTTACCAGAGCAGAGTGCCAGATTTACCTATAGGCTAAGCAGGCTGAAGCCTAGAGGACCTCCAGCTTAGGAGTATAATATTTTTGACTCTGTAGTCTTAAACATCCGTCACCATCCTCGGCTTTCCACAGTGGTGTTTAAAACATACTTTCATCTTCCTCTTGTCGTGTGTGTTGGGGGGGGGGGGGGTAAGGGGCTTCATAAGTGGAATAACCTTGGGCCTTTCTTCTTCACAATATGGCACTGCTTGTATGTAAATATGCATATCAATATATGTGTGATATTTATATTTGAATAGGGTCAATCACAACGAATATTAAATGATATCAAGAAGAGATGGGAAGGTGAAGAATTACGTACTGGTTTATTGGCGTATCTAGAGTCAGAAATAGGAACAGATATGGCTCCAACGTAAGTTCAGTGGATTTTTTTGTGACATTTATAATAAGAATATTTTTGTAGATTTTGTTGACTCAGTGACTGTGATTTTCAGATCCTGAATTTGATCCCGGGATTCACTGAGAAAGTTCCTCTGGATTTCTCATCCAGGTTTCTCCCTTGTTGTTGGTGCAGGATGTAGGGCTGGGCATGGAAATGTTAAAGATCCCTTGACAGTTGGAAGTCTAAATAAAAGTAGGGTGCACTCAAAGTACACTGCATGGAGTATACCTATCTTCATTAGAAAAGTGTGACATTTACAAAATTCCAATTCATTTTTTTGATATTTTTATATAGAATTTGATTAATGTTATCCATTTCAGCATAGAAACAGCTTTATCCGATTTGTTCCGTAAATTAAAGGAATTATTTTCGCTGTTATATTTATCACCTAAAGCCGTGAATGAATCCGTCAAAGAAATAATGCTACAATTACAAAAGAAATTAAAAGCAGAATTAGCAGATTATAGAGATTTTTTAACTGTTAAAGCACAGAGAAACATTCCTATGACATCGTATCCTTACTCAAACTAGGGGTCACGGTGGCTAAGTGGGTAAGACGCTGGCTCGCTAGCCCGGAGGTCGGGTTTTTGATCCTTGCATTGGCCGAGAAAGTTCATCCAGACTTTCCGGCGCGGTTCCCCCTTGTCAGTGATGCAGGGCAGAGGGCCTGACAAGGACAGCTGTCTAATCATTTGGAAGGGACGAAAAACCGAGGTCCCGTGTACACATTGGCGTGCATGTAAAAGATCCCTTGACAGTTGGAATTTGATATAAGAGTAGGCTGTAGTGCCACTGTCCAGCAAAATTTCCCTCATAGCACACTGTATGGCGTATGCCCGTCTTCATTAGCCCAGTTGGAGCAGAACAGAAGGACGTTAAACCCCATTTCATTTCATTTCATTACTGAAACTAAACAATGATAATCATACAGTGACTCAGTGTGTAAGACGGTGGGCTCACTAACCAGGAGGTAGCAGGTTCAATTCAGGCGTAGGCCAAGAATTTTACCCTTGTCACTGAAGATGGCCTTGCAAGGAACAGCGTCTAGCATTTCAGATTGATCGATAAACCAATGTCGGCATGCATTTAAAAGAACCCTTGGCATTCGACTGCTGTTCGGTCAGAACTCCCCCATAGCACACTGCATGGCATGTGTCCATCTTCAATTAAAGAAAATTGAGATGTTCTACGGAGTTAAACCCCATTTTATTTTCATAATCATACAATTTATGACGTAAATGTAGTAATACCCTTAAAATATGTTAAAAATTACATTTCACCAAGTTAAATAATCAAAACTCATAGCTACTGATCAAAAAATGCATTTTTCTTATGATTGTTTTGTTTCTTGATTAAATTTTAAATAATCAACTTTAGTGTTGATAAATCTGTGAAAAATTAAATATTGTCCAAAAAGTGAAAATGGTAATCAGCGACTAATTGTAATAATATACCCTTCATGATTCTTTAACACAGTATAGATATATCTATGAGTTTCCAGGACTGGTTCATTTTATCTACATAGATAGACAATCACATCAACTAACAGCACCCTCTCTAAATGTAACTACAGATGGCGAATTAGACCCAAAGCAATATCTAAAAGAAATGGTAAGTACCACAGCATACAATATTTGTCCCCAGTTTGTCTGGGCGCCTAGGGGTCATGGTGGCTAAGTGGGTAAGACGTTCAATGATGAGCATTTCCTGCTTAGGCTAAGCCCAGATAGTATCCTTGACTACCATTAGTGATTGAGTACATTTACATGGAATACAATCACTGGTTTATTATATATATGTTATTATATCACAATTCTTCTCTTATCGTTTTCAAACACAATAACTGATTCTTATTTCAGCTGTTTGATAAGCTTTTAGGATTTTTTGCATGGAGTAGTTATCAATTGGTTATGTTTATTAAACTTTAGGTGTGGAGTAAATATCAATATGCTATGGTCAGATTAAGTGAAGGCTATGTAACAACAATTATTCAAGATGGTGATTTCTATTTTTCTTATTTCCTGTGGTTTGAAGACAACAGGGTAAGTAATTTTCCGGTGTTTTTGACACACTGGTGTATAAGACACTTTGGTTTATAAGACATGCTGGTGTATAAAACACGCTGGTGTATAAGACATGCTGGTGTATAAGATACATTGGTGTTTAAGATAAAAGACACACTGATGTATATGACAAGCTGGTGTATAAGACAGACTGGTGCATAAGACACACTGGTGTATGAGACACACTGGTGTATAAGACAAACTGGTGTATATGACATGCTGATGTATAAGCCACACTGGTTTATAAGACTCAGTGATGTATAAGACAGGCTGGTGTATAAGACATGTTAGATTATCCGGTGTATAAGACATGCTGGTCGACGAGTGGTTGATATGACACACTGATGTATAAGACTCAGTGGTGTATAAGACACGCTGTTGTATAAGACACGCTGGTGTATAAGACATGCTTCTGTACAGGACACACTGGTGTATAAGATGTTCTGAATTATAAGACACTCGGGTGTATAAGACATGAGTTTATCAGGGATGTTCTAGAGTAAAGATCTGGTGTTTAAGATGTACACACTGTTAATTTACAACTTAGAAGAGTATACATGTAGTTTCATTTTCTGATGGTCACAATTTTTAATTCTGATTACCATGAAATATTTTTCAAATTTAACTTCGAAAATTCCTACTAGTTAATTTGATCTAACAGTGTTGGAAAAAACTTGCCATGATTAGCAGTAAATACAATATCCACCCATCCGATGTGTCCTTGAGAGAGCGAGGGAGAAATGGAGTGTAACGTCCACTCGACACAAACTAGGTCATTTCGGGACTAACAGTGGGAGGAAAGCGGAGGACCCAGAGAAAACCCACAAGGATTAACCGTCAACCCTACTCCTTGTCACATACAGCCGGGGATTCGAAACCATGCCAGTTGACTCAATGACAGACTTTGTGATACAAATGCGCATGAGCCAACCATTCGGGACTAACCTATGGTTCAATTTTATTTCAATAATTCGCTTGCGCTTCAGATCTTTAGCAGTGGGAGGAAACCGGGGGACCCGGAGAAAACCCACAAGATTGGACAGGCGGCCCTACTCCTTGTCACATACAACCGTGGAATCGAAACCACGCCAGTTGACCATTCAGCCATCCAAACCCCCACCCCAGATGTGTCCTTGAAATAAACAAAGTAGGATGGTATTGCACATCATAGCATAACAAGATGCTAATTGTACCCTGTCACAGGAGTAAAGGAAAAGGACAAAACCCCAAAAGTCTAGAAGTGTTTTGAGTTTTTGTACATAAAGATATTTGGTACATAGGATGTGATAAAATTATTATTTGGCCCTGTGGTATAAAGTGTAATTAATTTATTATCGATTTTAGGGATCTCCATTAGCTGTAGCTGAACCGTTTCGACCAACAACTGACCTACCGTTACCAGGTCTACTCACTGGACCTTTTTATAAGTAAGTTTTTTTTTCACGCATTTAAATAATTTAAATTTTAGGCAAAAACAAGATTTGAATTCTGCAAAAATTTTAGGGTTTGGGTAAAGGTTGGAGGAGCAAGGTTACCCACTTTTTTTATGTCAATGATAGAGGTGTCTGTGTGTATGTCAATGATAGAGAAGTCTGTATGTCTATGTCATTGATAGAGGGATCTCTATGTCTATGTCAATGATAGAGCAGTCTGTATGTCTATGTCAATGATAGAGGAGTCTGTATGTATGTCAATGATAGAGGAGTCTGTATGTCTATGGCAATGGTAGAGGTGTCTGCATGTCTATGTCAATGATAGAGGAGTCTGTATGTCTATGTCAATGATAGAGGAGTCTGTATGTTTGTCAATGATAGAGGAGTCTGTATGTCTATGTCAAGATAGGGGAGTCTGTATGTCTATGTCAATGAAAGAGGCGTCTGCATGTCTATGTCAATGATAGAGGAGTCTGTATGTCTATGGCAATGGTAGAGGTGTCAATGGCATTTCATATTTTGGAATTTTACTTCATTCTAAGATGTAACTCATCTACCTTGAAATTGTGAAGAAGTGGTTATATTGTTTTTATTTCAGACTTTTAATAAAACAGTGTTTTCCTAACTATGTACCAGGATCAGTGAGATGTTTTGAATTATTTATGATGCACCTGGGATTGGTACAACCACAATATATAGCCTCACATTGTCAACAATTAGCTAAAAAACTCTGGGATATGTCTCTTATAGAGATATAAAACTCTTATACCATAATCTGCTTCAACTTCTGAATTCTAAGTCCAAACTATTGCTTAAAGTAGTTACAAGTGTTGTGCATTAGACAGTGTAGATTTTGATATTTTTATACTAAACTGTACATAATCATTGTTATATATATATGAATGGAAGAATGTTTTGTTATAAGATTTAACAGTATGATAATTGTATCAGGGGCCTGTTTCACGAAATTTTAACTAAGATAAAAATCCAAATTTTAGTAATTTGATTGGATAATATTAGATTGATTTTAGTGCTTAGCCAATCCAAATTAAGTATCTACTAAAATTTGGATTTTATCTTTAGTTAAGATTTCGAGAAACAGGGCCCAGATTATTATGAATGAAATGCCTGTCTTAATTGGCCATGTTATCAGAGGCATGTGTAGAGCTATATTAAAGATGCATTATATGAGATTAGATAAAGAGTTGACATTCCTCGCTATAATAGTTAAAAATTAGATAAGGTAAATAGAATATACTGAAAAGTTCAGTCAAATTGTTCCACCCTGAACCACGATATTAGCTTTTGAATCTTAGGCTGGCCTCGATCATCATTACTAAAGTCGGTACAATAAAAAACAAAGTCTCAATTATCCATTTTTATGTTTAATTATTTTTCAAAAAGTGTATTACAATCCGCTAAATATCGCAGGCTAGCGATGGCATCGAGAGTTGATTATGGTCTGGATAAGTTAATTAATGTCTAATTGATAATTTAGATAACGTTTCCTGCCTAAAGATAGTCCTGCAATAGGCAGATTTAGCTCTTGCATAATGTATGTTTATATCTGTACGATAATTGTATCAGAATGTTATGAATGAAATGCCTTGAGCTACATTAATGTTTTGTTATATGATTTATCTCTATGATAATTGTTAATGATTGAAATAAATATTTCTGTTGCTTATTTACGTTTTACTTGTACATTAAAAACTTGTATATAGAAAGGTACAGCATGTTATTTCCATTTTATACTGCTTGTGATTATAGTGAACAATGGAAATGCCACTGTTGTGGCATTGTCATCACTAATATTGAACAAATAGAGTGAGAGAGAATGGCATTCCACATCCACTTCTTTTCGGGACTAACAAATGGTTCAATTTTCTTATTTCAATAATTCGCTTGCGCGTAGGGGTCTATAGAGGACATGGAGAAAACCAATGAGGTTGGGCAGGTGACCCTATTCCGCGTCATGTATCTGAGGGGAATCAAAACAATGCCACTTGAATCAATGACAGACCTTGTGATATAAGCACACCATTTAACCATTCGGCCACCCAACCCCACAAATAGAAGTAAAAAACAAAATAACCCTATGTAGTTAGTGTCAAGAATAGTTTGAGTTGATATTTAAAGCCACCCACAGACGTAAATTGTTTCATTGACTTTGGTGGTTTATTCCATAGCAAAGGAAAAGTTAGTTCCAGCACAGGAAAAAGTACGTTTTCCAATTTGTAAGTAAATGGATGGGGATTTTAGAAGATGTTTTTCTGAGAATAGAGATTTTTGCTGGTAGTATAGGGTTCTTAAATGTGCGATACAGAGATTTTATAAGATAAGCATGTCTTTAACAAGAACAATGTGTATACATGACTGTACCTTATAATCACATTTCCTGGTCAACTTGACAGACATTAAATTTGACAAGTCAAACATAATGGTAGCTACCGTTTAGGTCAATCAGACACCCGGAGGAATTTCACATTCACAAAGGCCATTTTAAAATGATTTATCACAAAAGTAACAGTAAAGAAGATTATTATTGCTTTATTAAAATATAAATAATATAATATTATCTTTATGACATGCAAATATCAATATACATCATGTAATAATTGTTCTAGAGATAGAGTTATCCTCCCCCAGACTCCATTCTATAAGGACATAGAAGATGTGTGCTGAATAATGTGTTCAGAAGTAATGATTTTGAAACCTCGATTTTTTCGACATCGAGAACAATTTTCATCAACTAGATCTTTTCGACATCTAGAACAACTTTGGAGCAATAATGGTCCCTACTGATATCCTTATTCAGCGTATATGTCTTCTTTACCTCCAGAATAGGACCCTGGACTGGATAACTCTTGTCTATAATGTCATACAGAATAAACTACATCATCAAATATTCCCACCAGGCTCACATCAAATCACTTACTTGTGGATACTCTGGACAGATTTCCATCAATTTACTGATGATAATACGCCAAGTATACAGAGCTTTCACTTTTAAATCTTTCAATTTTTGATGTATTTTGATTACCCCAGATTAGCCAATATGACAATTTTAAGCTTTATCCAAATTTATTAATATATTTATGTGTTTTATACACTCTATTTATAGTTTACTATTAAATTGTTTTAAGTTGTAATTTCATGGTATGTAATTTGACTGACAGGTTCAAATTCTCACAGTCGGTCAATTTTACTGCCAGTCAGTCAATACTGGTAAATTTAACTGAAATAGGAGCCCTTTAAAAAACTATCTTGGCAATGCTAGTGGTTTTTAACGATGTAGAAACTGTAAGATACGACTGGATAAAAAAAAAATTGGGCCTACATGCAATAGAAGTTAATACAAAAGATGAGCATATGCATCATTTAATAAGAAATATATAAACATTAAGGCCTACATATAATAGAAGATAAAGATAGGCCCACATATAACAGTAGTTAAAGATAGGCCTACATGAGCATGTATATCATTTAATAAGAAATATATAAACAGCCAAGTAAAATCAATGCACAGCATCATTAGTTTATCGTTTAAATTGTTAACAATCAATAGTAAAGTCATCTAGAGAGCTGATTATGGGCTTGTCATATGTGAATACATGTCAAAATAATAATTTATATAACATTTGAAGCCAGCAAAAAAAGACCTGCAATAGGTAGATTTAGCTCTTACATATCACATCTTTACCTAAATATCTACAATATTTATCTAAATTACTGTCCACTAATTAATATCGATTAGGTAATGCCAAAAATAAATCACTGTTCTTTGCAGAACTTCAATTTTTGAAAACAAATTTATTTTTAATCTTAACCAAATGGTTATTTTTATTTCTACTAGTAATGCTAACTGGTCTACAATATAGCAATAAAGATAAAAAAAAAAAACATAATAAATTTAATAACAAAACAAAAAACAGTTTTATATTTTTGTGACACTGCATGAACAGTTTCTTTTCTTTAGAGAACGCACTTAGAAAAAAACAGAACTGCCATCGAGACAGGATAACTGCTGCCTGGGTTAACTCATGCCTTTACTTAGCAGAAATAGTCACAGAAGCAAGCCAATGGACTTCAGTGGACACTCAACGCAACTTGCTCATTTTAAGACTAATATGGGGTGCTGGAAGTCGAGTGGTGTAAGAAAGTGTTGTGTGATAAATGAAATCTTCTACTCGTCTTTTATGATATCAAAAAATATCAACACTCGTCAAGTTTTTGACGAAGCCTTGTTTTTCTTAAATTATCGACTTGTGTTGATATTTTTTGATATCAAAAAAGACAAGTAGGAGATTCTATATATAGTTACAGCAGTACATATATATCTAAATTTATGATAATATTAGTATAATACTAGCACCGCCATCAGACTCAAATAAACTGATATCGACTCTTTGTAGGCAAACAATAAATTCTCACGATTAAACGATTTCATATGAAATTCCTAACCTGTAACATCCATTTTATAATTTTAACAAACAAAGGAATAAAGCTACAAGCTACGGTAATGATTTGCTATTAATATCAATTTATTTAGAAGTTAGTCTTGTGTTAAAAATATTTACAATTAAAGTATTCTCTGATGTCTATTAAAGCATTCTATACATCAACAATTAAAAAAGCATAATTTATAATATAATTACTGTTCAGCCTGTATGTTTAACTGAATAATCCAGCCTTTGTTAGCTAGCTGCCATTCACTGATATGTCGTATATCAGAGACTGAAGTGAGTAATGACAGTAATCAAAGTCGGCCAATTTGAACAAACACGAAAAAGTAAATTTTAAAACCTCGGTAATGGCAGCTAGGTATCGAAGTCACTGAATTTGGAAAAGTATGTTGTACATACATAATTAATGGTCTAACATTATTTTTCATGTTAATCCAAATTGGTCGACTTTAATACGTAACTGCCATTACTGATTTTAGTTTCTATTTCGTGATGGTGGGTTGGATGGCCAAATAGTTAGCATGGGCGCGTTGCATCATAAGGTCTGTCATTGAGTCAACTGGCGTGGTTTCGATTCCCTCCCCGGTTGTACGTGACAAGGAGTAGGGTCGCCTGTCTAAACTTGTGGGTTTTCACCAGGTCCTCGGGTTTCCTCCCACTGATAAAGACCCCTATACGCAGGCGAATTATTGAAATAAAAATGAACCATATGTTAGTCCCAAAATGACCTAGTCTGTGATACATCGATCAGTGAACGGGAGCTATCAGAGGCTGGATTATTCCATCTACCTATATTTCTATTCAACTCATCTTTAAAAAGACTGACACCACCAACAACTGGCCGATTGATTTGGATTTGATCTACATTTAAATCCATTTTTTCGAGTACATAATTTGAAAGTTGTTATTAGTTGAGTGTATGATTTTAACGAATTAACTAATTGCGGTTGTTTTGATATAATATACTGATATATTTTTAGCACTTCAAATAATTTTTGGTTCAATCTGTATAAATATATCTACTTCTTTTGATATGATTCCATTGTTTTAAATAAATTAATTTGATCCGAACAACATATAAACATTGTACATGGTATGATTGAAGACAAACATATACACTACAGACAAGTACAATAAACATGGCTGCATTTTACATGTCCTGATAAGTAGAGCATAATGGCGGCTTCCATGCAGGATGCTATCTTAAAGTTTAAGTAGGTCCCAGATTAATTCTAACAGGCCTTATCCATCAATACCAGTTCCTTTTAACATCACTTATGTAGTTATCTCCAGTTTAATTATTGGTATAATTTTTTTTACCAAGATTGTGCTGCTTTTTTTAAAATTTGCTCAATAGCCATAGGACTATATATAAATGCAGCCAAAACATTTAATAATTCTATATTTAGAAATAAATATACTTGTAATACAAAGATAATAGAAAGCATTGGCAAGAATAACGCCTATTACATAAACTATACAAGCAATCATTGTTTTAGGAAATAATAATGAATTGAAGAATGAAATTGAACATATTGATACTTCAAACACCATTTCATGTTACAATTAATAAACTCGTTGAATATACAGATTTGACGCCATCCTTTCACGATGGCGAGTACCATTATCTCAAAGGAGGGTACATGAACTGTGCTAATCATATATTATTTATACAATTGGTGTAAAATATTGGACTTTATAGAAATTCATTTGTGAGACATTGCATAGTATATTAATACTTGTAACTAACACTATGTTATATTACTTATGTCTCTTTCTTGACCTTTAACCCACAGATAAATTTCTTTAATTTTTGGCAATATTCAATAGTAATTGAGACTTGATTAATTGTGCAACTAATACTGTTGAAATTATTTAGCTTCATTGTATTACCTTTAGTTTATAAGAACATGATATTAAACTATTGTAAAACAAAAATATATGTCATGAAATTAATGTGACCAGACCAGAATAAGGTTAACTTTACTGTGTTCTGATATATGGTACAGGACAGAGCTGTGTATTTGGTACAGGACAGAGTTGTGTATTTGGTACAGGACCGAATTGTGTATTTGGTACAGGACCGAATTGTGTTTTTGGTACAGGACCGAATTGTGTATCTGGTACAGGACAGAGTTGTGTATTTGGAGTGTATGGATGTATGGTACGAGACAGAGCTTTATATGGATATATGGTATTGAACAGGGTGGTGTATGGATATATGGTACAGGATATAAAGATATGGTACAGTGCAAAAAGGTGTATGGGACAGATAGAGCTGATTACGGGACAGATAGTGTTGTGTAATGGACAGACAGTGTTGTGTACAGTACAGATAGTGTTGTGTACAGGACAGATAAAGTTGTGTATGTAACAGATAGAGTTATGTATTTATTTATCATACAGGACAGTGTTATATAATGAAATTTATGTGGCAGCTCTGAGTTAATAAACCACATTTTAAATCATTAATTTCTTGATCACATCAATTTCTTGTTTTACAATGATATTTAAACAAATGTTGTTTTTTTACATCATGGAAAAAATACATGTATAAAACAATTTTTTTTGAAGAAGTTATAATATATATATATACGAATGTCATGATGTGTATACGAGTTACTCATTAAGTTCCACGTAATTAGCAGGAAACATTCCATGATTTCCATCAGGCCCTGTACCCAACCACCAACCTTCATCAATCTGTTCTATATTTAGAATCATATCCCCAGGATCAAACGTTATCTCAGTTTCATCAGCTGAAAAAAAAAATATAACTTGTTTTATTCTCCATCTAACTCGTATGAAAATCTGTCTTCATTAGCTCATAACGGCTAGATGGTGCAGAAAAGCAAGGCATTAAACACTATTTCGTTTATTTTTTGTATTAAATGAAATGAAAGGGGGTTTAATATCTTAATTTTCTGAACTAAAGGGTTTCGATCATGCATTTTTCTGATATCTAATTTTTCACACCTCTATCCAAGCCTAAACATACTCAAACAGTTTATAAACCATAATATCAACAGTTTAACTCTGTTCAACGTCCTATTGTTCTGATCCAACTGGGTTAATGAAGACGGGCATACGCCATACACTGTACTATGAGGGAAATTTGGCTCGGACAGCGGTGCTACAACCTACTCTTGTGTCAAATTCCAACTGCCAAGGGATCTTTTACGTGCACACCAATGTGTACACATCTTGTTTTTTTGTATCAACTGAATGATTAGACAGCTGTCCTTGTCCAGCCCTCCATCCTGCACCACTGACAACAGTAGATAATATCCCGGCGTGATTCAAATGGGTTAAAAGAGGCTCATCAAAAGATTTTAGCCAACACTTATAGGTGAAGCTGGTCTTTAGAGAATGTGAATTTTTGGTAATTTTCAATTGATCATATCTTTGTAAATATGAACTGAATTGAATCAAGTTTGGATCCATATTTTCTTTAGAGATTCAACTTCTACAATATTGTAGTTTGCAAGGGATTTAAATTACCTAAAATGACAGTTAGTGGATTTAAATGTATCTACTTACTAGCTTGATAATCGTATAGAGCTGTAGCAGTAAGACCTGTACTAACACCACCATTATCTGTTGGTGTCTGTATATCATCTTCTTCTACAACATATGTAGGTTGTGATGATGCTGGTGGAGAAGCAGCTGACACAGTCTCTTGTGGTTCATCTATAAAAACAATTAACATGTATTATCACATAGAAATATAATTGGTATCAGGTTTTCTGGAAATAGGAAAGATACCCTGGCTCGTGTATGACACCCACCGTTTGTGTGTAGTGCAGTCCTCCTGCACTTACTATTATAGCCAAAAGGCTGCAGTGCTTTCGATATGGATTTCAGAACTGAAGGTTTCCAGGATAAGAATTGAAATGATATGAAATGAAATGTGGTTAAACGTCCTACTGTTCTGCTCCTAAACTGGGCTAATGAAGACGGGCATATGCCATACAGTGTGCCATGAGGGATATTTTGCCCAGGCAGCGGCACTATGGCCTACTCTCATATATCGAATTCCAACTGCCAAGGGATCTTTTACGTTCATTCCAATGTATACACGGGACCCCAGTTTTTCATATCATTCAAACGACTGCACAGCTGTCCTCCGTCCTGCATCACTGACAAGGGAAAACCACGCCAGAAAATCCAGATGAACTTTCTCGGCCAACGTGTACACAGGAACTTGTTTTTTAGTACCATTCACACAATTAGGCCTGAATGCCAGGCCACCCACTCTACACCACTCACATGGTTGAATTGGAAACTATTTTGAGCCACCAAGACTGGAATATATTTGACCAAATCTGACCATACCTTCCCACTCTTGTTCCTCTGTCTCCTCATCATCAGAATCTTGTCGTTTAGGTAAACCTTCTGCTAATAAATTTCTTGTTTTAGGTAAACCTGTAGGCACAGGATTACTAACAGGTTCTGGTTCATATGATCTTTCTGGTTCGTATGATTGTTGTTCCGGTTCTGGTTCTGGTTCGTATGATTGTTCTTCTGGTTCATATGATTGCTGTTCCGGTTCTGGTTCATAACTTTGTTCTGGTTCTGGTTCACGTGTTGGTGCTGCTGGTGGATTACTTCTGGGAAGTTGTATTGGTTGTTTTCTCGCTGGTTCTTCCTGAGATGACTGGTTTTCAAGGAATGTACTTTTAAGTTTTCTGAAATTGATATGATAGTGAGAGAGAGAGAAATGGGGTTTAATGTCCACTCGACACAACTAGGTCATTTCGGGACTAACATATGGTTAAATTTTATTTCAATAATTCACTTGCACGTAGGGATCTTTATCAGAGGGAAAAAAACGGAAGACCTGGAGAAAACCCACGAGGTTGGACAGGCGACCCTACTCCTCGTCACATACAACCTAAACACCTAAGTATTTAGGTCAATATATAGCTAAGGTTGTTTAACGTTCTCTAAAGAATATCCTAGGTGCTCCATGGTTGGTGACAGTGCGTTCTGTGGAAATAGGCTTACAGCATTTGTTCTTATGATTGACCATTTTCTTGATCATTCTGGGTCAACCGTGGACGGTGGGATGGAGGTGTAAACAAGTGTTTAAATATATTACCTTGGAGGAGGTCAACCGTGGACGGCGGGATGGAGGTGTAGACAAGTTTTTTTTAAATATATTACCTTGGAGGAGGTCAACCGTGGACGGCGGGATGGAGGTGTAGACAAGTTTTTTTTAAATATATTACCTTGGAGGACGTCAACCGTGGACGATGGGATGGAGGTGTCAACAATTTTTTTAAAACTATATTACCTTGGAGGAGATCAACCGTGGACAACGGGATGATGGTGTAAACAAGTTTTTAAATATATTACCTTGGAGGAGGAGGTCCAGTATTACCAGCACCTTGTACTTGTCGTGATTTCTCTTCAAACATAGATCTAGTACCAGATGTTTTACCACCAACTAGATGGGCTGCTTCCTATAATACAATATAACAAATTAAAGTCAGTATTAAAAAAATAAATGAAATAAAATCAGTACAGTAGTCGACGACAGAAATGTGAAATGTGAAATGAAATGAAATGGGGTTTAACATCCGACTGTTCTGCTCCGACTGGGCAAATTTTGCCTTGACAGCGGCGCTATGGCTGAGATTTTTAATTGAAATCCAACTGCCAATGTATGACAAGGAGGAACCATGTCGGAAAATCATGATGAACTTTCTCTGCCAACACAGGGATCGAACACAGGACCTCCAGTTTAGTGAGCCAGCGTCTTTCCCACTAAGCCCCTGTGGTTACCCACACTATTGTGCTACACAACTTGGTAATATGAGGTGTTTCACTCCACGAGTTCATTGACACATATTTCACGTCACAACCATTTTCTAATAAAACTGCAAAACTTTCTACAGTTCCCTTCCTATTTGATTAATTTTTCTATTTGTATTTATTTAAATCATGACTATTTTTCCCAATCATCAAGATGCCAGGACAATGTACTGGTATCAATATTTTCATATGTGAAAGGAAAAACCTGTTATAATTAATTGTTAGATTTGATTCCCCTTAATAATTACTTCACATAGAAGCATGATAATGATAATAATCAGTGATTGAATTACAGTTAGTAGAAAGCTCTTTTGACCTAAAGGCCGTAACTGGGATTATCGGAAAAGCACACAAACAAAATGTTTGAAGAAAATATTGGTTAAAACTTACCGATGTTCTTTCTTTACGAGCCATATTTTGTGATTGTCGTCTTTGTTCATCATTCATCTCTATTTCTTTTTGTTCCCTTTCCTGATAAAAATACAACGAATGGTCTATATCAACATTATTACATTATTTTGATATATCAAGCAAGATAAAATGAAAAAATACTGAACATTTGAATACTTGAATATTTAAATACTGAATATTGAATATTGAATATTTGAATGTTTGAATATTAAATATTTGAATATTGAATATTTGAATATTGAATATTTGAATATTGAATATTTGAATATTTGAATATTGAATATTTGAATATTGAATATTTGAATATTGAATATTTGAATATTGAATATTTGAATATTGAATATTTGAATATTTGAATATTTGAATATTGAATATTTGAATATTGAATATTTGAATATCTGAATATTGAAATATCTGAATATTGAAATATCTGAATATCTGAATATTGAATATTTGAATATCGAATATCTGAACATTGAATATTTGAATATTGAATATTGAATATTTGAATATTTGAATATTGAATATTTGAATATTAGAATATTGAATATTTGAATACCTAAATAATTGAATACCGGTACCTGAATATTTAATATATGAATACTTGAACATTTGAATACCTGAATACTTGAATATTGAATATCTGAATATTGAATATTTGAATATCTGAACATTGAATATTTGAATATTGAATATTTGAATACCTAAATAATTGAATACCGGTACCTGAATATTGAATATATGAATACTTGAACATTTGAATACCTGAATACTTGAATATTGAATACTGAATATTTGAATAACTGAATATTTGAATACTGAATACTGGATATATTCCAATTACACATGCTTTTAATAATAATAAAAATAACCATTTTCAAGAGCTCTGAACATTCAGTTAGAGTCAGACTGCTCTGTTGCGTTTTTATTATTTTTATATCAAGTTTTATTTCATTATTATAAAAACAATACTGAATATTTATAAATTAGGGGATATTTACATATCCAGGTTTATACCATTTTTTATTCTAAATATTAATTTGTACAAAGAAGGGTCTAGAAGATATACATCACATTTCTTAATAAACTTTTCACTTAATTAGGAAAATGGAATAAAATGGCCAAAGTTTTAATTTTTAATATTCTTAAAAATAAGAAAAAAGACTTAAATATAAAATACATTTTTCCTGCTCTTAAATCACATTTCAAACAAAGACCTAATACAAACTGTGAAAAAAGAAATTGAATACCAAAATGTTATCTGGTCTGATAAACATATTTTTAATTGGCTGAAGGTTAGAAATACTTGTAAAGTTTCAAATGTTGAATTTTCGTAAAATACGTAAAAGTGTCATTCATTTCTATTCCTGAACAAGAACAAATAAAAGTAAGGTTACTGCTGAACATTATTGTAGAAATCATTCATTAATTTTTATTCGTAATCACATATCTACCAGAAAGTAAGTTATTACACTGTAGAAACGAAGACAATCATAATGTATCATTTTCTTCTTTTTTAACTTTTTTTCTTTTTAGCCTATTCATCTTGCTCGAATTCCGGCCAAAGTTTTTTTTTAGATTTTGAGATAACTCTATTTAAGTGTGTAAACCCGTCAGCAAGTATTGATTGAGTCAATTACTGATTGATATCCAAAAACTTAACAATGATTGAGCTATTTTCAGAAAATCTATAAAATGATTTTTCAGAGACTGTGACCTGATTTGTATGGATCAGATATATATTTGGTGGTGAATCGATCAATACAACTTCAAAGCTTAGACTTCAAAACATATGTTTAGGGTAGTCGTTAGAGAATCTTATTCAGAAACCAAGGAATCCTTAGAATTTTGTAAAATATAATAAAAGAAATAATTGTTAGCAGACTTCTATAACCTAAAAAAGAAAGAGAGAGAGAGAGAGAGAGAGAGAGAGAGAGAGAGAGATCTATAAACTGAAACAAAATAAAGTAAAAGTTCAAACAATAGCATACAAATTAAAAAAGCAATACATTAATAAAAGATAGAGACAATCACCAAGTTATAATAATGTTAAAGGGAGAATGAAAAGAATTTTAACAGACTATCATTAGAATTTTAACAGGCCTTCACTTTAAAGGGGAAGTTTGGTTCCACTGATTATATCAGAGCTCATGTTTTCAATTATGTCTTTCAGTCTTTACTGCATGGCATTTAGAACTTCTCAATTTACATGCCATATAAATAGTTATAAAGAATTGAACAGATACATAGTTTTTTATATTTGTGTATCCACAAGCTAAAAACATGATTAATTGTTCAATCAGGGGCCATAATCCATGAAGTTACGGACCTATAAATTCCAATATCGACAGGAAACAAAATCTATGGGATATAAACCTATGATGTGAGACATTTGATTAACCACACGCCAAAAGCTCAGAGAAACAAACCGTTTCATTGGCTAATCCCTCACATTATCCAGAACGCGTGTTATATAACAACTTTTCCAGATCCTAGTATTGTGAAGACAAGTAAAACGAAATTTTGAACTATAAAATACAAATATCTTCTTTGAGCGGCATTTAGCAATTGACATATGTAATACAAAAACATAATATGGAACACAATTACTATTTTATTGATTACGATTAATTAGTTGTTACTTGTTTTTGTATATAAACCGTCTGTACATTATTTTCATTATCATTTGCTTGAAAACGTTGAGAGAACTCTCAATGAAACGTCGCTTTAATTAAAATAGTAATTGTGTTCCATATTATGTTTTTGTATTATAAAATACGAAACAAAATAGGATCTGTGTTTTAATCAGATTGGTATAAACTTCTATCTTTAGAGAGAATCCTATTATAAAAATTAGTAGTAATAAGTAGCTATAGAAAGATATAAACAAACACCAAATACATGTCTACATAGTTCCACATGCAAATTTACCCAGCGTATTTTCTCTTCTTCTTTATTGGTGGAATTAGCAAGTTCTTCAGCACGTTTTTGTTCTCGGATTCTTTGCATTTTATCCTGTACTGCTTGCTCTCTTGCCTTTGCTTCTCGTAACTTTTTTTATAGCAAAATACAAATCATAGTGTAAGGTTTGGTTAGGTTATATATGTGTGTTGATAGGACAGTGATAGTGGACAAGGAATGGGGGGGACTTTGGGAGCGGAGTGGGTTGGATGATGTGTGAAAGGTCATGGGTTCAAATTAACCAGACTGCCTTTTGAAGACGTCCAGTGTTACATTTCTGACAACATCCTAATTATATATTTGTAAAGCATATAAATACAGATTATCAGCCTTCATTTATTAATGAAGTTTTCATTGATTTCACTATTTAAATTGCTATGCTGGGTTCTGACTGTCATGCGATGTGTTATGATAGGAATGTCCCTATTGAGTCCACGAACTGTTACATGTAGATATTTTCAGATACGATCAACATGATTGCTACGACAGACCACAATATATGATGAGACCTGATATTATCAACACGATTACTCCACGATTAAAACCATGATTTCAATTGTAGCGTGAATCGTGATAGTAGGAACCCAGTATTACAAACAAGCTTGATGCACAACAAAGTTCATCCATTGTTTTTGGACATCAGTGTATCAAACATTCATACAATGTTTATATTTATTACTTCTTGATTTATACAAGTCTGGTGATATTAATAATTCCCATACAAGCCCTAAAAAAAGACACTTGTCACAGACATTGTCAAGCGCAAATTCAGGCTTTGTCAGAAACAATCTCTGATTTGTCTTTTTTGTGCTATTATTGATTTTATTTAATATATACGTCTGGCAAAAAGTTGAAAATGTATATCTAGTTTGATACAACTAAAACTGTTATTATTACGTAGTTGTCCTCCATATCTACTACATATATTAAACCTCTCATTAAAAGCTTCATAAATCGTTTAAATAATGCAAGTATTTATGTCAACATATCTTTTCCATAAGTATAACATGATCCTGAATGTCAATGTTACCTGCCACAGGTAAATTTCAACGTTAGTCATTTCCGCCATTCTCCGTGAGGAGTCGTAACTTTAGGCCAATAAAAAAAAAGGTGTGACGTAATTATGATGGACAGATAGGGTAAAATTAACAACATGTGATTGGAAGATGTAAATGGGGTATCAATGTGCTGCTAAGGTGGGATTTAAATATTACAATAGTTCATCATTAAAATAAAACAACTATAATTTGGAGGCTTATTACCTCTCTATCTTTTCGTTCAGCATCCATTTTACTTGCTTCTTCATTCTTTCTTTTCTTTTCTTCTTCAATTCTTGCAGCCTCATCTTTCTACAATAATAATTTGTTTTTTACAGATTCCAGATATATTTACCCAAAATTATATGTACCTTCTTTATCTATTGTGAAAATCTGTAGAAAAACCACAATTAATTGAAACAATGTATCCCCACACTGGTCGTAGTACCGCTATCTCCAAACAACAAAATCTTCCTGTCCCAATTCTTAAATATCAAAACTTCTAGGATTTCACTATTGACCAATGAATGAAATGGGGTTTTTAAATCTCTTTCTTTTCTGGATTTATAGAAATAAAGAGAAAGAGAAAGAGAGAGAGAGAGAGAGAGAGACGGGGGTGGGGGGGTATTTCACAGACTAACATATGGTGGAGAAAACCTGCAAGGTTGGACAGGCGACCCTACTCCTTGTCATGTACAACCAGGGAATCAAAACCACGCCAGTTGACGCAGTGACAGGCCTTATATGTAAGCCAAGACATCTTTTTTCTGCCAGCCCTCCATGCATCTTGCACCAGACAAAGGAAACCCAGGCTGAAAAATCCTGAGGGATTTATCGGCCAACATTGGGATCAAATCCGGGACTTCCTGGTTAGTGAGTCAGTTCCATTGTTATCAAGCAAGAGAGAGAGCAAGAGAAAGGGGGTTTAACATCCACTCGACACAAACTAGATCATTTTGTGACTAACACATGGTTCAATTTTTTATTTCAATAATTCGGTTGTGCGTAGGGATCTTTAGCAGTGGGAGGAAACTGGAGGACCCGGAGAAAACCACGAGGTTGGACAGACGACCTTACTCCTTGTCACGTACAAGCAGGGAATCGAAACCACTTGTTAACAAGCACCATGGGTTCGTGATGAACAATGAGCTGTATGTTTAACAGTGGTGCATGTCTGTGATTCCCGAACTTATAGCTACATTATCTCCCTTTACTGCAGACACGTGAACAGTAGCGTCCAATCAGAGATTGTGACACAGACACACCCAAATCAAACATGGCGACTTCCATGGAAACCTTGACATTAAACGAACCTTGAACTTTGCAACTCGATTATCACAGGTCGACATTTTACCTGGAATGCACGAGGCTTGGTATTCGCAATGATCAAGAAATCTGATAGGCCCCCAGCTGGATCGGTGGCCAATCTAAATTAGTGTTGAAATATGCAGGGTATTACGCGAAGGCCTTGATAAGATGTACAGAGTTAAAGCAAGATCAAGTCTTCTATTGAAGATGATAGTGGTGAAGCACAGCCAATCTACAACTATTTACATTATTTACCTCTGTTCCTGCCCAGAATTTATCTCGTGATTTGTTATTTATATCTCTAGTAGCAACCGTTCTTTTATAATTTGTTCCCTGAAATAATAAACATAAACATAAAGATATTTGTGTTCACAGAATTAATGCACGTGTTCGACTGATCTCCAGACTAAGATCAAAGAAGTTGTGATCCCTTGCAAATTATAATGTTGTGGAAGTTGAATCTGTAAACAATCAGTCATTATATTGTTAAATTATCTTCAGTGTTTACAATCCATCTGCCAAGGGATCTTTTATGTGCACACCAATGTGTACATAGGACCTTAGTTTTTCACCCCATCCAAACGACTAGACAGCTGTCCTTGTCTGGCCCACCGTCCTGCACCACTGACAAGGGGAAACCAAGGCGGAAAACCCTGATGAACTTTCTCAGCCAACACCAGGATTGCAACTGCGACCTCCTGGCTAGCAAATCGAGTGTCTTACTCACTTAGACACTGTGACTCCCCCAACTGAATCCAAGCCATTATATTATCTAACATTTATATTATTTTTGGTTTTGTTTTCTTAATCTAATGTTAAATAATCAATCTGAGTACATTTTAGCATGTATTAACAGGGGGTATTTAGAAAACTTTGAGAGGTTCTGATCCTAAATTATTAAGTCCTAGCTACTTCAGTGGGGGTCCAGCGGGTGCAGGCCCCTGCCACTGGAGCACCTTGGCTCGCAGCATCAAAAGCGATTTAAGGCATAGTATGAGATTTGAGGCAGACTTGAACCATGTTGCTATGTCTTCTTCTAAAAGCAAATTTTTGGTAATTAGGAGTAAACATCTCTATCCTTGACTTTTGTCAGCACAGATTTGGGCGTAAAATAATTTGGGTACCCATATGTTTTCCGGAATCAAATTGACCCTAGATAATCCCCTGATTAAGCCGTGAATAAATAATATAGTGTCCGATAAATGCAAATGATAATCAGTGATTTTAATCATGTGCACTTGCCTTTTGTTTATGATGTGTTTGCTATTGTGTGTGGAGCAGTCATACTGTACTTACTTTTAAATATGAGAGATTACTGTGAGGTGTTATTGTCTGTGGGGCAGTCATACTGTACTTGCTTTTAGATATGAGAGATTGCTGTAAGGTGTTATTGTGTGTGGTGCTGTCATACTGTACTTACTTTTACCTTTAGATATGAGAGATTGCTGTGAGGTGTTATTGTGTGTGGTGCAGTCATACTGTATTCAATATTAGCTATTATGGAAGATAGCTGTTAGGTTTAATTATTCTAAATGTCAGTAAAGGTTGATACTTACAACAGGAGTAGGTTCTTCAACTGGTCGAGCTTTTTCTTTATGAAAACTATAATTGGAGCCCGATGATTTGGCTACTTTAGTGGTAATGATATCTATATCAACGTCATCTTCTGTTCTAGCATTTATTGTTACATGGATTGACTAAAAATAAATATATAAATTAGTCAATATCCTACAAACAATGATCATATCATTCATATCATTATATGCCATCACAAAAAAATACTTTACCCACAATCTTCAAAAATTGTTCCAGAGATCGGACTCTCTCATCTGGCTGTCTTACAATAATAAATCATTATCAGTTTACTTTATGGTTGAAAGAGCTAAATCTCTTACTCAATATTCTCCATAATACTCGAAATTAAAAACACGAATTAGAATTCAATATTGATCAATTTCAATCAATATTGATGTTGTTATCTTGCCGTGAACTATAGAATCCTAATATCAAATATTTAAGACACAATTAACATTTTATAATCAGTACACGAGTTGTGTACCCTATGGTATTGGGTGCCATTTTGTGACGAACAAATAAAAACATATCCTACAACACAATGTGGAAGTAATTTTGGCAAAGGATGATTCACAAACGACAAAATAATAATTAAAAAAACGTGTAGAATCCATTAAGCAGGCGTAAACGACTGCCATTCAATTTGGACTATTCGTATATTTCACTGATTATAATTGATTAGAAATTACAATATTTTGTTTTAAAAATTGAATATAAATCACTTTATATACATTCATATTACATTAAAATAGGCTTTTAGAATCATTTTCGTCCTTTTCAAGATTAAAAAAAAATAGACCCATATGCCCTTTAAGTTGGTACAATTATAATATTGCATGCCTACCAACTTCCCATGTCAAATAATTTTATAACATGCATAGATTGGGTACAATTAAAATACAGTAGGCCTACCAATTTTCTAAAATAAATTATATCTTACCCTACATAAACTTTTGATATCATTTAAGTGAGTGGAATATTTCAATCGGAACTGATCTGGTGCACCTTCGCCTTGCTGAAAATAAATTAACAATTGTTCTTAAAGAAATGAAATGGGGTTTAACATCCTACTGTTCTGCTCCGACTGGGCTAATGAAGACGGGCATACGCCATACAGTGTGCTATGATAGTATGAGTGAAATTTTGTCTGAACAAGGCACTACAGCCTACTTTTATATCAAATTCCAACTGTCAAGGGATCTTTTATGTGCACGCCAATGTATACACAGTACCTCGGTTTTCCGTACCATCCGAACGATTAGACAGATTTCTAATCTACTTGTGACCTAGCAGTAACAATATCATGTTATTTGACTGAAGTGTAACATTTCATCAACACAATACTTTGGTTATTTTGAGACTAAAATATGCCCATTTTCATTTCAATGACAACATGTGCAATCCAAAGGACATAATTTTGCCTGGATATTGCCTTTTTTTTTAAATTCATACAAATGTGAACATCTGGACCTTCATTCTTGTTCCAAATGAAAAACTAGACATAAATTTTCTGTTCCATCTGTACGACAAGATACACTTTCCTTGTCACCCCAGCAGGCACCACCCTTGACAAGTGAGCATCAGACTTCAAAATCCCAACAACTAGCATTTTAACCCAGGATATTCTATAACGTCCTGCTACATGTATAAACCCATATTCCTGAAGCAATGGTCCATTAAAGCAGTGTTTAGTGGGATTAGCTCTAATCAAACGAAATACTGCGAGGAGTATGGTATAAACCAGTGATTTTTTCCAGATAATTATGTTTTTTTCAGGATATTCTAGTTGAGAGTTCATAACCACATGAAGAATGAAAAGCTCGATTTACGAAAACTCATTTCAATATCTGAACAGTTTATCAAAATTTCAAATAAAATATTTCAAGCAAATTATAAGTTTATAAAATATAATTTACCCAGTTTATAAGAACATATTTAAAGAGGTCTGTATTGGGATCTTTAACTCGACAATAACCATACATAATTTTACTACTGTTTAAATCATCTATCATTTCATCTAATCCACCACCTATACAGGAATAAAATAAACATTTATAGACAATCTCTCAAAATATAAATAATTAATGTGATCTCTCAAGATATAAATAAACAATATGATCTCTCAATATATAAATAAAGAATGTGATCTCTCAAGTTATAAGTAAACAATATGATTCCCAGAACCTACATTGTAAATAAACAATGTGATCTGCCAAGTTATAAATAAACAGGTAGAGAGACAACCCCTTTAACCAGAGAAGATAGACAAACTCCTGGTAAATTATAAACTAATTTATTCTAAAATTTTCAGACTAAAGGTGTCCTTCCTGAGTAATGAAGTGATGCGAGCGAAGCGTACGGTATTTATAGGTAAAATGATTGTGACGTAATGTATATAAACTGATTTACATTCAATCATTTCTATTTTTACTGTAATTTCTAATCAGTTATGTTCGTGGAAATACGCGAAGAGTCCAAATTGAATGGCAGTCTACACTGGTTGTATTCGACTGTGGATGATATTGAGTTAAAGAAGATCTGCCTCCTTTAAGGAGTCTGTATGAAAAAAACTATTCAACATTTAAACTATCAAAAGACTCGTCATAAACCTTGTACAATTCATCCAAAAATAGAACATACGGTAATAAAATTAAAACTTAAAAAATTGAAAAATAAAGGAAGGACTGATACAACCAAATCATCAATATACAACAGCATGTATTAAAATTAAGAATGGTAAAAAAATCTGTTTGTAAATTTAGTATTATTTGGTAATTTGAACTCTTACCTCCAGTTTCTACTACTTTCAAGGTGCATGTTTGTCCTTCATATCCAAATATGACCCTAAAATATATAGATATTATACATTAACAGAGTAGGTATTAAATCTAATACTTCTTACTAAAGGTAAATGGGGTTTAACAATCAATATGAGAGAGAGAGAGAGAGAAATGGGGTTTAACGTCCACTCGACACCAAACTAGGTCATTTCGGGACTATCATATGGTTTAATTTTATTTCAATAATTCGCTTGCGCGTAGGGGTCTTTAGCAGTGGGAGGAAACCGGACGACCCGCAGAAAACCCACGAGGTTGGACAGGCGACCCTACTCCTTGCCACGTACAACCGGGGATTCGAAACCACGCCAGTTGACTCAATGACAGACTTTATGGTACAGCGCGCACGTGCTAACCATTCAGCCACCCAACCCCCCCAATCAATATGAACAATCAATGGCAATTTGTTACTAAAACTTAATCATTAGTTATATTTTTAGGTTCCCCCAGGCTCCAGCGGATTTTTGGATGGGGGGAGAAAAATCTTATTGGGTAAGGTAGATGATTCTACTCCCCTACTTAGTAAAACAGGACATGTAATGTAACAAACCCATGGCAGCATTGATGGCAGATCTTTGTTTATTATAGCTGATTACAATTAATCATCAACAGTCGTTGAACTGCAGATCGCATTCAAATCTGTTAAAAATTGGACCGATCAGATGACATCTAGAGTTGATTATGGTCTTGTCAGATTAATAAATGTCTAATCAATAGTTTATATAACATTTAAGGCCTAAAGAAAGACCTGCAATAGGCAGATTTAACTCTTGTATAATGTATAGTCAGGCCTGTCTTTTATCACCATTTCTAACAGACTTTTATCTAAACATAAAATTGCAACTGTTCCAATTTAAAAAGTTATTAAATACTTTTTGAATTGAGTTTTATGTATCTGTTGATGAGTTTTCTGTCTTGTTTTTAATGAAATCAACTAGTATTGAAAAAAGAATTAAAAATACAGTGATCTAAAAAGATTTGCAATTTCCAACTACATGTATCTGAAAGAGCAATTTTAAATGTATTATTTGAATGTAATATTCAAATTGTTTTCAAATGATGACTCAGAATATTGAAATAGATTTGGCCACACTCTAAACAACTTTCAAAAATCCAAGATTATGAGGATTTATGTTGTGTACTACAGTAACAACAAAAAAGAAACTAGTACATAGGCCTACCCACTTCCAAACTAACAGCATACAATATAATACTTAATCTAGGCCCCTACTGACTGTAAAATTCCTTGTTTTCTGATCATAAAACTCTGCCATTTAAAAGTTCAAAGATCACATGACATTTTGTACAAGATAAACATATTGACCCGTAAAGGGTTTTCTTACACTTGGTAATCATGGTCCACACCTCTAGAGTGTAGTCCTACCAATCTAAAACGGGCTCACAGATGAGCATAAAAGAATTTGACTGCTCTTTGGACTACATGCATTGGTGTTTCGAAGAAAAAAGCATTAACACAGTTCATATTTTGGGCTAGATTTAGGGAAGAGAACATTAAAATATTGGAATGCCACCAAGCTAGTTCAGTAGTTGGCTAATGATGTTAAGAGTGAGTCATCCATTAGCATACACAATTCATTTACTTATGATCAGCAAGCAAGTGTATTATCAATTCCGTCTCTGAAAATAACTCATTAATTGTTCCTTAACATGTCTTAAGTTATTCAAAGATTGATGAAACCATTGATGACTAAAATTGAAAGAAGGAAGGAACAGGAGTCAAGTTGCACCAGGCCTATCCCGGAAGTCGGTGTGGCTTGCAGGTCTTCGCCGACTAAAGTTTGATTTTAGCTAAAATCCTGAACGCAACTTATTCAAAAATGTCTAAAATTGCAGAATATGTTTAATAGTTACCAATCCGTGTCGCTTTTAACATCGACGACGGCATTTATCGCTTTAGTAAGCGAATCTTTGTTCTTCTTTAAGTCAATCGCCATACTCGATGACTACCGCTTGTGCTCTACGTCACCAATTTCGGATTCGTGAAATGTTGACGTAATACGCACTGTTTATGTGCGATATGAATGATCCAGCCAGGCACAGCAAAGTAGACTGGTCGAAATTTGACAGAGGGAAGCGGATTTTCATTCATTGAGCCAAGATTATCGATTCGTACAAATATATTTTGTTGGTTTTGTAAGTATGACAAGTATTTCATCCATCTGTATCACAAATTGAATTTACATGACAAATAATACATTTATTACTGATGTCTGCATAAATTTCATAATTAACCCTTTTTTTTCAGGCTTCTTTTGTTTTGATACGCGCTATTATTATGATTTTCGTTCTTTGGACAACTGATGCTTTGATTTTAGCCAGAGTCTCTGTCTTAGCAGAAATAAATCATTAAGTCAACCATTTTTTTTTTTTAATTTATAAATGAACAGATTTTTACCCTAGTTCCCTACTGTTTGTTTATGTTACCGTACTGTCTATTTGTTGATATTTTGCGTTGTAACAATTTAATGACCCAGTGACATAATTGATTACTTGGCTATTCTGTTGTTAATTAAAAGTCATTTTCAGGTGTTAATTTACAAGGTATGGGTGTTGAAATTGCTGGCCTTTTAATTATCATATGGTATACATATATATATTTTCTCATGTGATTGAACTGTAGTAGCCTTCAACAAAAATTAGCTAATTTTTGGGATGATACAGAACTTGGCATATCATATAGGCCTATCCTCATTCTGTGCATGTGAAAGATCCTCAGTTAATTATAATGTCATTGCATTTCATTCCAATCCATGGATTCCTGATTCCTTAATTTAATAATCTTCTTACTTTTCCGTAAAATGTGCTGTATCTTTATTAAGTAACCCATAATTCCACCTGTTTGACCAGAGCGAACTACATGCAGTTATACCTGGTACATTCAACTGATTTTACAATTTGAATAATATTAAAAGTCGAGAAAAAACACTTTTATTAATTTAGAAATACATTCAATTAGTATGCTGCAGCCGATGCTGTCAATGTTATATGACAAATCTAATCAGCATTAAATGCAAATCTTTAACAATTTAAAGCAATGATTTAATCTCAATTATTGTCTGCTAAATTGATTAAAATTTCAATCATTTACAATCTACTTTCGATATTTAATTAGTCGATACATTGTATTATAGTTAAATCGTTCATGTGTGCACTAATAATGAATAATGAATCACTGCTGTCTGCTGTGCATGAATAGCAGGACAGCAAAAAATTTTAAAGTATGGAAATTGATTCAATGTTGCTTGAATAGTATAGGGAAGTTCATGTATTCCATATTAGTTAAATAAGCCAACTGTCACTAGGACAATGATGGGTGGCTCAGTCACAGGAATTAAGGCCCATTCTTTCCATAACCAGGCCTGGGCTTGGTCCCAGTCTAGGCTGAGAAAGGTTCTCTGAATGTCCAGCCTGGTTTCCCCTGTCAGTGATGCGGAATGGGCTGGCAGGGAACAGGGCCCTGTCCTTTGGATGGGACAAAAAACTGAGCATGTAATTCAATGAAGAGTATGTGAAATGCTACTGTTTGGGCAAAATTACATGGCCTATGCCCATCTTTGTTAGCCCAGTTGGTAGGACTTTAAACCCTATTCCATTTCATTTCACTAACAATCACAGATTTAAGTATCCTGAATCAAGTTCTAAAAGATACAACAGATATCTATACTAATATTTGTGACTGTCGTTTGTCTGTCTGTTCGGGGTTGGCGGCTACACTAGGTCTGCCCCGAGTCTGAAATTTGGGGTATAAGGGAGTAACATAGGCCAGGTGGCATTAGTCTACCACTTCCGGTTTCGGGGTTATGACCCCCGAGCGAAGCCGGGCATTCTGCTAGTTAATAAATAAAATATGTTTAATATTTATCTTGCCCGTCATGTAACAAGGAGTAGGGTCACTTGTCCAACCTCAGGGGTTTTCTACGGGTCCTCTGGTTTCGGTTTCCTCTCACAGCTGAATAACCCTATGCGCAAGAAATTTATTGAAATAAAATTGAACTATGTGTTAGTCCTGAAATGACCCATCTCTCTCTCTCTCTCTCTCTCTCAGACTTACTATATGTACAACCCGTTAATCAACAATGCGTGAAACTAATTACCAGTTTTATTGTATTTGAGAAATGTAGTCAGAGATTTGCAAATAATATTACAGGTTTAACTAGGTAGAAACTTGTTTGAGCAAAGAGTTCATGACCTTATATTTGAAGTGGTCCTAACTCAACCAATTCCTATTGAACAATAAGACATGTCAAGAGAGGACAGTCCACAAAAAGAATACAACCTTATGAACCTTTAATATTATTTGTTTTTTTTGTCTTTGTGTGGTTCAACATTTACTCGGGTGAAACACATGTACACACAGGTAAGAAATTTCATAGCTCTGTATTTGATTATCCCTGCACTCAGTGTTTTAATTATTAACAATTATGCAGAGAGTAGTTTAAATTACAAATGTATATTGACAGGGTTCCCGCGGTCCTTGAAAATCCTTGAATATCCTTAAATTTAAAATTTCATTTTCAAGGTCTTGAATATCCTTGAATTTCGTGAAAATAGGAAAATATCCTTGAATTTCTGTTGAGATCCTTAATTTTGTTTCAAATGTCTTCAATTCCTTTTAAATATGAGATTATAACGATAGTTGGTAATGTTTTGGTTATTTTTTAGATGAAAAATTGTAACATTAGGCTAAAAAATGTCCATGTGAATCCTTGAATTTGACGTATATTTATCCTTGAATATCCTTGAAAAAATGTTTGACGAAGCCGCGGGAACCCTGATTGAATTTGTATTCCTGATTGAATTATTTGTGGTTATTTTTAGTCTGCATGTATGAAATGAGAGAAAGAGGGAGAGAGATTAAAGACAAAAAGGAAGCCATTTTCACAGGTGACCGAAGAACAGGGATTTTTAGTTTGTTCTATAAGGAACCACTGTGATAAAACTAAAGGAGAGAATATCTGCATGATAATATTCGGATCCACATAATACGCATCTAGCCCACATTCTTCTGCCTTTGAAAAACAAAAAGATACATTCATTTTTTTATCTTATATTACTGCAAACATGGATGCATAGGGAGAGAGAGATGGAGAAATGGGGCGTAACATCCACTCGACAAACGAGGCCATTTCCGGACTAACATATGGTTCAATTTTATTTCAATCATTCACTTGCGCGTAGGGGTCTTTAGCAGTGGGAGAAAACCGGAGGACCCGGAGAAAAGCCCACGAGATTGGACAGACGACCCTACTCTTTGTCATGTACAAGCGGGGAATCAAAACCACGCCAGTTGACTCAATGACAGATCCCATGATACAGTGCACACATGCTAACCATTCGGCCATCCCCCCACAACCCCTGTAGGAAAGATGCCTGCACGTGTGCCAAGATAATAAAAATAAGACAATCCCTTGTGTAAGCATTTATGGCTAGGAGATTGGGATGTCTCCTCAACCCCGTGGGTTTACTTCGGGTACTCCGGTTTCCTCTCAGTATAAGACAACTTGTCTGCGATATCACCCTTGGTGGAAGTGGACATTAAAGGGACAATAACACTCTTGCTGGCTTGACAGCTCCAGAAAATAAATAATAGCCTTATTCTAAGTACTAGATGTTTAAGTGTCCTACCTGTTGTGTAAATTATCCATTACATCCTATTTTACTTGTCCAGAGGGTTCAAAAATATTTTTAAATTCCAAGTCACATTTGAAAAGGTTTACGTTAGGCTTTTCAAATCATTTAGTTAAATTTTTCCAATTTTTTAAATTAGGTGTGTTTAGATGAAATTTGTATCACCAATTAATTGGAATATTGTAAAATAGTACAATTTGTTGACCAGAATAAAGATTGGGACATATTATTCAGTTACAACAAGAGTGGTATTGAGCCTTTAAACACTAATAGAGGAAGAGGAAGCAGAAAACTGAGATGTTAAACACTGTTTCATTTCATTTTCGATAATTGAACTGGATCAAAAGTGTGACATTCACACGTTTCTTATAAAGGCCAAGATGTAATCTTATTTCAAAATCTCGACTGATGTTTTTTAAAGATTTTTCAACAGATCAAACTACTTCTTATTCATTGATTAATTTTCTACAAATGGAAACTAATAAATTATTTATGGTTGACTGACAAATTGTATTGAAATATATATTGTCACCCTCAGGCAATTCACATATTTCAAAATCTTTGATAGTGTATGAAGAGAGACACAGAGAGAGACACAGAGAGAGAGAGAGAGAGATTAATTTCAATAATTTGCTAGGGTGTAGGAGTCTAGCTGTGGGAGGAAACTGGAAGACTTCAAGAAAACCCACAAAGTTGGACAGGAGTGCCTACTCCTTGTCACGTACAAGCAAGGAATCGAAACCACATCACTTGACTCAGTGACAGCCATTATGATATAACGCATATACGTTAAACCATTCAGCCACTCAACCCCCCCCCCCTCGATGTAGAAAGTAATGCTGGAGACTGGTAAATATTAAATCTGCTGTTAATAATTTGTATTTCTCAAACAATATTTAATTTGTTTTTGCTGTACCATACTCCAATTGATTATTTAGTTGAGGAAAACAAAACCAAAATAACAATGGTAGATAAGCTCCCGGCTTAGGGTCAGTCACATCAAAAGATTTTACAGGGGGGTTGAGATGGTGTAATGGTCTAGAGTGTCTCGCTTCTAGTCGGTCTGTCTTTGAGTCAAATTGTGTGGTTTTAACTCTGACTTGTATTTGACAAGGAGTAGGTTTCCTCCCACGGCTAAAGATCCCTACGGGCAAACGAATTATTGAAATAAAATTGAACCGCATGTTGGTCCCAAAGTGACCTAGCTTATGTCGGGTGGATGGTAAACCCCATTTCTCTCTGATTATTGTCAGACATTCTGTCAGTTGCCACTAATATCATTATTACCAGGCAAGCTCATTCAATTAATTTCAAGGGCCTGGCAAGGGACATGTATAGTTGTTTGGATGGGATGAAAAACTGAATTCCTGTGTACGCATTTGTATGCACGTAAAACAACCCTTGGCAGTTGAGTTGGAATTCAAAATAAAAGTAGACTGCATAGACATATAATTTTGACATCTTTATAAATTGGGTTGGGTTAGATATCACATATGTACAGTTCG